CTACAGGTGCCGCATTCCCCAGGTCAAGCCACTTTTGAACCAGAAACAGCGGCAGAAGCGCCTGACCTGGAATACAGAGAAGCAGCACTGGACTGTTGCTCAGTTTTGCATGTCATTCAGACATCAAGGTGCCAGAGTCTGGAGGAAGACTGGGGAGAAGGAAATGCCAAAATGCCTGAAGTCCAGTGTCAAGTACCCACAGTCAGTGATGGTCTGGGGTGCCATGTCAGCTGCTGGTGTTGGTCCACTGTGTTTTATCAAGGGCCCTCAATGCAGCTAGCTATCAGGAGATTTTGGAGCACTTCATGCTTCCATCTGCTGAAAAGCTTTATGGAGATGAAGATTTCATTTTTCAGCACGACCTGGCACCTGCTCACAGTGCCAAAACCACTGGTAAATGGTTTACTGACCATGGTATTACTGTGCTCAATTGGCCTGCCAACTCTCCTGACCTGAACCCCATAGAGAATCTGTGGGATATTGTGAAGAGAAAGTTGAGAGACGCAAGACCCAACACTCTGGATGAGCTTAAGGCCGCTATCAAAGCATCCTGGGCCTCCATAACACCTCAGCAGTGCCACAGGCTGATTGCCTCCATGCCACGCCGCATTGAAGCAGTCATTTCTGCAAAAGGATTCCCGACCAAGTATTGAGTGCATAACTGAACATAATTATTTGAAGGTTGACTTTTTTTGTTGACTTTTTTTGTATTAAAAACACTTCTTTTATTGGTCGGATGAAATATGCTAATTGTTTTAGATAGGAATTTTGGGTTTTCATGAGCTGTATGCCAAAATCATCAGTATTAAAACAATAAAAGACCTGAAATATTTCTGTTGGTATGCAATGAATCTAAAATATATGAAAGTTTAGTTTTTATCATTACATTATGGAAAATAATGAACTTTATCACAATACGCAAATTTTTTGAGAAGGACCTGTATATACAGAAAGCGATCAAAGAACGCTCCCTTTTCAATCGCCCAAGCAGTCAATCATACAATGCGAGTTTATCTAGACACTTGCCAAAACTATGAAATCAATGACACTGTTACACTGCACAACGAAGCTCTGTCTTACTGTATTTACATCGTGTTTGCATTGTTATTTGGTGAAAGTATTCGTGAGAGTGCAGAAATTGCGTTGCAATGATAAGATCTTTTCATTCACATGATCAACAGACTGTCTGTCATCTGCTCAATGCTCATCACTGCAACCTTTCATGTGATGGGAAAATATCTAAATATAATGCTTTAAATACTTCTCACGATTCGTTAATCTCAATAGTTGTAATAGTAAAAACGTAGTAAAAGTATTCGAGAGATTTCCACATGTATAATGCTAGCTATTTCATATCCAAACATGTAAGCCAATCACAGCAGTGGGTGTTTACACTGCAGTCTCACAGCAGACACGTCCCTTCAAACAGAGCATTCAAATCAGAGGCTAAAATCAGGCTAAGAAAAATGCCTTTTATTTCTAATTTATGAAATTGTTTGATGTACAAATAATACTAACATTATAAGGGCATCCAAAGGAAACATTATAAAATAATAAAATAATTCAGTTCATGACCCCTTTAAGGACATTAATGTGTGTCACAGTGTATCCATTTTCAAACAAAAATGAAAATTCTGATAATCCTCATGTTAATTTTTATAAAATCTGTATGACTTCTGCAGATCACAAAAGAAGTTTCTCGGACAGCCTCAAATTAAGATTTTGTGACTGGGTCTGAAATAAAGGTATAGTATAGTATATATATATATGTGTGTGTGTATATATATACAGGTCCTTCTCAAAAAATTTGCATATTGTGATAAAGTTCATTATTTTCCATAATGTAATGATAAAAATTAAACTTTCATATATTTTAGAATCATTGCACACCAACTGAAATATTTCAGGTCTTTTATTGTTTTAATACTGATGATTTTGGCATACAGCTCATGAAAACCCAAAATTCCTGTCTAAAAAAATTAGCATATTTCATCCGACCAATAAAAGAAGTATTTTTAATACAAAAAAAAAAAAGTCAACCTTCAAATAATTATGTTCAGTCATGCACTCAATAGTCAATACTTGGTCGGGAATCCTTTTGCAGAAATGACTGCTTCAATGCGGCGTGGCATGGAGGCAATCAGCCTGTGGCACTGCTGAGGTGTTATGGAGGCCCAGGATGCTTCGATAGCGCCTTAAGCTCATCCAGAGTGTTGGGTCTTGCGTCTCTCAACTTTCTCTTCACAATATCCCACAGATTCTCTATGGGGTGCAGGTCAAGAGAGTTGGCAGGCCAATTGAGCACAGTAATACCATGGTCAGTAAACCATTTACCAGGGGTTTTGGCACTGTGAGCAGGTGCCAGGTCATGCTGAAAAATGAAATCTTCATCTCCATAAAGCTTTTCAGCAGATGGAAGCATGAAGTGCTCCAAAATCTCCTGATAGCTAGCTGCATTGAGGGCCCTTGATAAAACACAGTGCACCAACACCAGCAGCTGACATGGCACCCCAGACCATCACTGACTGTGGGTACTTGACACTGGACTTCAGGCATTTTGGCATTTCCTTCTCCCCAGTCTTCCTCCAGACTCTGGCACCTTGATTTCTGAATGACATGCAAAACTGAGCAACAGTCCAGTGCTGCTCTCTGTAGCCCAGGTCAGGCGCTTCTGCCGCTGTTTCTGGTTCAAAAGTGGCTTGACCTGGGGAATGCGGCACCTGTAGCCCACTTCCTGCACACGCCTGTGCTCGGTGGCTCTGGATGTTTCTACTCCAGACTCAGTCCACTGCTTCCGCAGGTCCCCCAAGGTCTGGAATCGGTCCTTCTCCACAATCTTCCTCAGGGTCCGGTCACCTCTTCTCGTTGTGCAGCGTTTTTTGCCACACTTTTTCCTTCCCAAAGACTTCCCACTGAGGTGCCTTGATACAGCACTCTGGGAACAGCCTATTTGTTCAGAAATTTCTTTCTGTCTTACCCTCTTGCTTGAGGGTGTCAATGATGGCCTTCTGGACAGCAGTCAGGTCGGCAGTCAGGGCTCGAGACTAACGGCGTCCTATCGTCCTGGGGACGATAGAAAATGTGTTTAGGACGAACAGAAATATTCTCCAGGACGCCTACAGGACGAAAGATATTTTTGAATGTGTGTTCATTTATTTCTAGCCTATTGGGCTAACTTACTTAGAAAATGTCAAAATTAACCGACCAAGTGCTGACTACAACGGAGCGCGTCTTCTCATGCTTACTATAGACTAACGTTACTATCACCGGCTACTCACCCAGAGACTTGTTCCGCGATACATCTATCAAATGGCTTAATGACATCGTAAATATGTTGCGCTGGTTAAACAACAGATATTCAACGAATAAAAGCTAGACAAAAATTTTAGATAGTGACGATTTGGGAAGCGATCAAGTCATTACTGATGTTCTGCGTGTAGATGCGCACATTTGTACTGTAACGTGCTGATCTACCCAGCGGGACACGGGTTGACATGCGCTGCATGTTTCATAAAACGTTAAAATATGTAAACGTCTGGGAGAATGAGTAGAGCAGATATATATATATATATATATATATATATATATATATATATATATAATATATATATATATATATATATATATCTGAATAAGAGTGACGACGCAAAGAGCTCTATTCGGTTTTCTGTGCGCACACACACGACCGAAGCGTGCAGCCATGCACATAGACGCCTATACAGCGCGCGAGGACTGATTGAGCTCTCTTTCGTGTCTGAGTGGACAAATACACACAACATTATGTCTAAATGTCCGTTTTGGAGAGTATTCGTGTAAACTATGTCTTAAACAGTTGTGAGAGAATCGGATGTGCATCAGTGCAATTGTATCCGCATGTCATTAGACATGATCCGACGTCTTAAAGTGACAGTGGGCAATAAACCTAATGCGGTCCGTGTCGTTAATATTGATCAAGCAACAAAAGAAAAAGAGAAAAGCATTCACTGCTCGTTAATAGCTTTATATTTAATATAATTAGTTCATTCAAATAACTATGTCTGCTGCTTGAAAGAAAAGAATGATGTGTGCAAGTAGTTATAAAGAATGCATATATCATTAATTCTCGAAGATCTCAGTACAAAGACTGAGACGGAGACAGAATTTTCCCCAAATTCTGTGTTCTAGAGAAGTCATATTACACTTTTTTAAAGCCCTTTCTCTTAATTACACGTTTCCAGATGATCAGCTATGACACATTACCACTTTGAGATATTTAGTCATCACCAGTATGTATTTGTTATTGTTTAATCCAACCAACTCAACCAACTCAAAAACGTTTTGAGCTGTATGTATTTTTCTCTTAATTTTCGTATATGTAAAAAAAAAAAAAAAAGGGAAAAAAATATTTATTCTGCATGAATACAAAAAAAACTACTAACAACTATAACTATAGATCATAATAACAAAGTACAGAAACAACAGTTTTATTTTGGGACGGTTGACATTCACTTTAGGACGGTTCAAATTGGTTTTCAGGACGGTTCCAGGACGGAGGTGAAAAAAGTTAGTCTGGAGCCCTGTCGGCAGTCTTACCCATGATTGCGGTTTTGAGTAATGAAACAGGCTGGGAGTTTTTAAAAGCCTCAGGAATCTTTTGCAGGTGTGTAGAGTTAATTAGTTGATTCAGATGATTAGGTTAATAGCTCGTTTAGAGACCCTTTTCAAGATATGCTAATTTTTTGAGACAGGAATTTTGGGTTTTCATGAGCTGTATGCCAAAATCATCAGTATTAAAACAATAAAAGACCTGAAATATTTCAGTTGGTGTGCAATGAATCTAAAATATATGAACATTTATTTTTTATCATTACATTATGGAAAATAATGAACTTTATCACAATATGCTAATTTTTATAGAAGGACCTGTATATATATATATATATATATATAAATGAAAATCCTTATAGAGAGAACTTTTGTGTTCATACTGCGAATTGTGTCTCTGTTCTTAAACAGGTGCGAAGATGAGAATGAAATACATGGAGACAATAGTGTTAAGTCTCATAGGTGTTGTGTGCCTCTTCATTATCATGAACAAAAACAACACTGAAGACGACATGACATCAAATAGGAAAGACACATATGAGATGCTCCATCATCAAATCCATTTGCCTAGATCTGAAACTCTCCAGCCGTTGTCTTCACGTTGTCAGCAGAATATGTCGGCTTATGAGGTGACTGGATTTTCTACTCTGCCGGGTCACATCCAAGATTTCCTGCTTTACCGACACTGTAGGAATTTTCCCATGCTGCTCGACCTGCCTAATAAGTGTGGTGGACCCCTGAACTCTGCAGATGTCTTCCTTCTGCTGGTCATCAAGAGTTCTCCAGAAAACTACGAGCGGCGAGAAGTCCTGCGGAAAACATGGGCTGAGGAACGACTGCACAAAGGTGTGTGGATCCGTAGAGTCTTCATAATCGGAACAACTAAAACTGGCTTCGAGAAGCGCAGGTTGAATAGGCTATTGAAGCTGGAGAACAATGAGAACAAGGACATTTTACAGTGGGACTTCAATGATTCATTCTTTAACCTCACACTGAAGCAGATCCTTTTCTTAGAGTGGATGGAAAGATGGTGCCCACAGGCTAGATTTCTCTTAAACGGGGATGATGACGTCTTTGCCAATACGTTTAACATGATTGAGTATCTTCAAGGTCAAGAGGACAATGATGGAAGTAAACATCTCTTTACCGGGAACCTCATCCTGACCGAAAAGCCTGCTAGACACTCTTCAAGTAAATACTTTGTCCCAGTGCAGGTTCAGGAGTCTGAGAGCTATCCTCCTTACTGTGGTGGAGGAGGCTTTCTTCTCTCAGGCTTCACGGCCAGAACAATCTACAACATGTCTCACTCTATAATTATAATGCCCATTGATGATGTTTACATGGGAATGTGTTTGGAAAAGGCTGGCCTTAAACCTACATCCCACTTTGGTGTAAGAACCTTTGGTCTGGATATCCCAGCTGAGAACGTTGACAAATTTCACCCTTGCTATTACAGAGAAATCATTTTAGTCCACAGATTTCTGCCACACATGATTTTTGTGATGTGGGATGAAATACAAAACCCACATTTGCAATGTGGAAAGACAAATTCCTCTCTTTAGGGAAGCCCATAAACAAAAGAAAAGAGTGTGTGATTAATTTTAAAGGGAAATATAATAGCTTGCTGGAAGTGATTTTCAAAATTATTCTAATATGTTTCTTTTTTATATCATGAACGTTTGAATTTATAATACTATATGTAACATTTATAATACTATATGTAACATTTATAAAACTATATGTAACAGTTTGGAAAGTATTCTACACGTTTAATAATTACACAAAAACGTCCAAATGTAGTGAACGCGCATATAGAGGGAAATGCCCATTTTAAACAGATTACATAAGAGAATAGTCTGTTTCTATTCGTTTTGAATTGTTTTGCTTAGACATTTCACGCTTTCTAAAAAAAAAACCTCTAAGCTACTTCATCAGGCATGATATATATATATATATATATATATATATATATATATATATATAAATCATGCCTAGTGAAGTAGCCATATACGCTGTGTTTCGGTTCATTTATGAGACGCGCTCCAGTTCATGTGCATGCAATATCACGTCGGCGCCTCCATGTCCTGATTATATTGTCTGCTATTTGCTTCTCATTTATTAAATCTAGGTAATTGGTTGATAAAACATTGATTCAAATTAAGATACAATTTATTTACAAAACGAAATTCACTTTTAAAGTAAGGCTTTATACAAAACAAAATTTAAAGGGCCCCTATTATGGATTCACTTCGCTCTAAGTGAATGAGCACCACTAGCAGCTAGGCCCAGAAAAGTTAAAGACATTGTTAAAATAGTCCAAGTGACTACAGTGGCTCAATCTTAAGTTTATCAAGCAACGAGAATACTTTTTGTGCGAGTATTGCCTCTCTTTTCTCCCTGTACACTGCACGAACACTGCATGACAAAGCAGAAATTTGATCCTATATGATCCCATGATAAAGATATAACAAAATTGAACTGTGTATTAACTTAAAGGACCACACAGGACAGCCCTAAGCAGATACAACAACAAAGGGATACCACCAAAGCGCTTTACATATTGCCTCACATTCACTCACTCATTCACACACCGACGGCGGTGTCAGCCATGCAAGGCGCCATCCAGCTCGTCGGGAGCAGCTGGGGTTAAATGTCTTGCTCATGGACACCTCAACACTTGGTCAGGTGGAACCGGGGATTGAACCACCAACCTTCCGGTTTGTAGACAACGAATGTTGATATTAGCTCACTTTTCAGCAAAAGCTCTGTTGGGTTTTATTATTTGAGAAATAAAAACTTCTGTTAAAGTCATGCAAATGGTTAATTATTTGTACAACTCTTGTTAAAGCATTAGATTGAAAACATTTAAATTTCATAAAGTGTGTAAATAATAGAAACTCAGTTCAAAATGGCCTTTCTTTAAATGCAACTGTTCTTTGAGTATTTAATTTGTGAAGTTAAAGCATGTACTCACTATACCGGTAAGAAGAAGAAAAAACTGCTCTTAAACTGGGTGTGTGACATGCTGTGGAATGGAGTTTGGCCGAGAAATGTTTTTCTTTTTGCTTTAACCCCTGGGGCTCAATTAATGATCAAATAAATTATTAAAAGAGGCGCCGGTGTTTGTAGCTTACACGGTGGCTTGGAAGACATGGGTAATGTGGTTTTTCCATTTTGCAATGCGAACTGGATGTTAAAGGGTTAGTTCACCCCAAAATGAAAATTCTGTCAGTAATTACTCACCCTCATGTTGTTCCAACCCCGTAAGACTTTCGCTCATCTTTGGAACACCAATTAAGATATTTTTTATTAAATCTGAGAGCTGGATCACTCCTCCATAGGCTTCTCAATGGATTGAAACTTACCGGTCCAGAAAAGTTAAAGACATTGTTAAAATAGTCCAAGTGACTACAGTGGCTCAATCTTAAGTTTATCAAGCAACGAGAATACTTTTTGTGCGAGTATTGCCTCTCTTTTCTCCCTGTACACTGCACGAACACTGCATGACAAAGCAGAAATTTGGCCCAACTAAAAAAAAACAGTCGTACAAGTCCGAATTCGGCTGAAATTCGGACAAAAATCACACAGTGTATGTCCGGCCTTATCCCTAAGCTTCAAAAGTAAAAGACAAAGACAAACTCTTCCCTTACTCCCTCTCTATTTAAAAACAGGAGAAAACAGGAATTATCAAAGTAAATGCATCAACCTCCCTATATGATCCCATGATAAAGATATAACAAAATTGAACTGTGTATTAACTTAAAGGACCACACAGGACAGCCCTAAGCATGATACAACAACAAAGGGATACCTTTAACACACTCAACTGGTAACTAAACACAGGGTTACCATACTCACACAGATGTTAGCTCACAGCATATTATTTTGTGTTCACTTAATTACAAGTTAACCAACATAGGCTGCTACACAATGAAAACAATAAGTCAGGGGACTGGAAGATGGCAGTTTCTCAGAGGAAATACTGGTTTTGGTTTGGAATTTTCTGGGTTCGTTTGTAGGCTACTCCTGCTCAGTCGGTCCAACGACAGTTTCCAATAAGCAGGTGAAGGTTTCTGCGCATTACTGTCTTTTCAGTGTGGCAAAGTAATTTAATTACCTCTTTGTTTCTTCTGACTCCAAAAATGAAAAAGGTTTAATTGATGTTTGTTTAATTGATGATTTAGGTGAATGTTTGATTAGCTATTCTATTTAACTCTTTATTGAAAGTACATTCGTTCATCCGGATTCCTATAATGTTTTGAGTCTCACACCACCCGGCGGGTATACGATCTCTTAAACATAAGCTCGTCAGTTTCGGTCATTAACAGAGGCGATTAACTAATATTCTAGACAGCCTACTCACTCAGTCTAGAATATATGATTTAGTCCCCATAGATCTGAACACACTTCATTAAGGTAAGATTATATCTAACCAGAGGTCAAGACCATTAGCCTACCATAGAAACAAGCTAACCAACTTAATTACTTCTAATGGTTTCTTTGTATAATCATGGTTTCCCAAGTAGGCTGCTTTATTCTGTTTGCGTCTTTACAAGTAAGAATCTGTATTTTGTTGTTCTTTTACTGTCATTGCAAAGGTTAGATTGGTAGTGTTTCATCTGTTTAGTGTGGCTAAATGTAAGCTCAGGCTTTCCTGCTCGGCTAGGCCTCGTGTCGTGATGCTTCTTTCTATTGATAAGTTACCACTCGGGCATTATTCTTTGGTTACACATTGTGAAATACCAGTTAAGCACTTTCTGTGCATAGTTTGTAAGCTATAGTGGTGATATTTGCATTCAAACCAGTGAATCGGTTATAGGGCGCGTGCTTCCCGCATACACTGGTCATCACCTGACACCTCTCGGAGCGGCTTGGTTTAGTTATTTATGTGACCAGCAGAGGGAGCCATTGTATTGCGAATGGTTTATCCTTTCTCATAGTTACCGTTGTAGTTGTAGAGTTATAGACACAGGGCGGGGAACCTTGGCGAGGAACAGGAGGTAGTTTGGAGGAAGGACCCTGGGAAAAAGTGCACACCCAATAAGCAAAGTATCTCTAAACCCTTATTACCATTTGGTTTACTTCTGTGGTGACGAGACCATTGTACCAGTCGCACTGAGACATTTTAAATGATACCTAAACATTTCTGTTAGTTCACTTATATTGACATAGAACATTATAATTTTATATAATCTTTCTAAGTGAAGAGACGAATGTGTAAAGGGAAAGAAGAGGGGGGAGAAGGAACAAATGTTAAGGAAGGACAGGAGGGAAAGAAGCTTTCCTGCAACTTCACTCTGTGGGGTGTGTATGTCCACTTCACTCAAATGGCAGTATGTGTTTGTGGTGTCCATATCTCCGGAGATCAAAGTATCTGAGGTTCTTTTTGTCTTACACAAGTCAGGAAACAGGTGGCACTCTTGATCATGCCAAGTGGACATTAGGAGGAGCAAGAGCAACACAGAAACAAGCCCCACATCATATACAAAATCACTAACAAAAAATAAACCCCTACATCCCTATGGACGTAACAACTGACATTAAAGATGTCAGTGAAAACATCTGCCAGCTGTTCTGCACATCCTCTGAGCACTTTGCCAGAAATGTTGTCTGGTCCTGCAGCCTTCCCTGGTACACAGTACATAACTTGGTCGTCAGATTCGGGAGGAGGGGTTGATCTTCCTCGCCATGGTGTCATTCTATGCCTCAAAACGTGTAGTGGTTCGGCACATCTGGGAGGGAGGTATTACTGTCACATGCAGGTGATGTTGGCCTATAGTTGGTGATGGCTTGCATGCCCTGCCACATACGACGTGTGTCACTGCTTTGCCTCTTTGAGATGTAACTCAAAATTGTCTTTGCAATGTCAGCATCTGTAGAAGCTCAGAGGGCTGTGTTCCCCTGCAGAACACTTGGTCTCCCCAGGTGTATGTAGCTTGAGTCCAGCAGGTGGATGAATGCGTTCAGGTTTTCTTCCTGTGATGTAAGCAAAGTTCATAGAGTCAATCTGGACCTTTTGACTTGTTCAGTTGACGTGTCATCCCTTCACCTTCCCCATGATGATAATCTGTCCCTTCTTGACCAATCCTGTCACCTCCAGCGGTGCGGTTGTCTGGGCAGACCTCAGTGGATGAAGGTGTTCTCCTTGGCTCCACACTGCTTTGTGTGAGACACCTGAACAGCATCTTAAATGTCCGCTTCACAATTGAGCACATATGAAGAGTCTTAAGGAAATGCATAAGAACGCATAATGCAACAAAACAAATTCACGTCATGTTCATGTCAGCAAGTGTGAGTGGTACATCTGGCCTCATATGTTTCTCAAGGTCAGATAAGATGGTCCCATTTTTAATTATCCAATTCTTTCACCATTGTGATGATATTAAATGGTAGTAGAATTGAAAATATTATTGGTCTTACTCAAAGGAAATGCAGCAAGAAGTCGGTGCAACTCAAATAAACAGATAAATGGTATGCATCAATACGTCTTGTAATAACAATAATAATATTTAAAAAATATATATGAAGAATCACTGTTTGTTCAGGAATCTTCCAATGTAAGCCACTTATGCAGATATAAGAAGTGACTTGGAACATGCTTATTCATACAAGGATGGAGATTGTTCATTCCTTGCAACAGGTGTGTGTGTGTGGGGGGGGGGGGGGGCTAAGTCACAGTCAATGACAGGGTTAAATTGTACAATTCTGTAATTGATTGAAGTGCTCACACTTCAGATCTATTTGTTATTTATGATGTTTCTGTTATTAGTGGTTTGTTGAGAAATCATTGGCCCTATGATTTTCCAACCACCCTAACAACAATCAGAAAGTTTAAACATTTTTAAATTTAATAGCAGGTCTGCCTCTGCTTTAATTTTGTTTTTGCATCATTGATTTGTGACGGTAGCCATTCATATGTATATTACAGTGTTTTCCCATGAGTTGGCAGAGTGTTGTGTATAGCGTATGCTATGTCATGGGATCAGCTTTCCCATCCTATGTGTGTGAAGCCATTCGGTTCTGTTAGTGTGAAGATGCACAATAGATCTTTAGTGAAGTGACACTTTTGGATTCTATGTCATCTTTATCTTCTCATGATGTGTACTGTTCAGCCTGGATAGACTTGATCTATTCCAGGTGATGATGCTGTGAGGGTGTAGTGATGGAGGAGTGTGTTCAGTGTTCATGTCTAGGAGATGGGTGGAAACTACTCTATAACAATTGTGTTGCAATTTTAGTTCCAGTTCTATACTGGGAGGCCAAGCTAATGTAGTGATGTGCTATTGAGAGATGTAAATGGCCTCTTGAATTGTCTTTTCACCCATCTCCCGAATCTCAGGTTATGTTCTAACAATCGTGAGGTCCGGCCGTCCTGGGATCCGTCCCCTGAGGAATTGCAGAAGTAAACCTGACAGAAACAAATACAGAGAGAACCACAGTTAATTCTGATGTTTTCAACAGTTTCAAATTCAGACATGTGGAATTCTTTTGCTTGCTCCATTATCATGTCCATTGCAATTTTAATTCCAGCTGTCACATGAAACCGAGTTTTCATTGACCAGGTCTGAATTATTGCTGTTGCTTCAGTGCAGTGTGTGACACCTAAAAGCTGCTCTTGCAGTCGAGCCTTCACAGTCTGCTGTGTCACAGCTTTAGAGATCCCAGTTTTCGGGTTTTACGTCAAGTTGCTTTCATCACAGCCAGATCTGTGGGCATGAATTAGTTCACCTGTTTCGGTGTTGTGGTGTCGTTCACACATTTGGTTAGTGCAGGTCAGTTACCTGCAAAAGGCTGTGGTCTGTCTGATGTTTAGTTCACACCCTCCTTCTAAATTTGCTTCCTTGATCAGTTGGCTATTACCTGTGCCACACTTCTGGGAGTGTTTTTTTAAAGGCAAAAAATTAAAACACACCTCCGCCCTTTTGGCACTGGGTAGCAGGTCAACGAAATCGAACTGTAAGGATTAATGTCACACTTCTCCAATTAATGCCTGCTTGGCGATTACAATATAATGTATATTAGAATTTAAGAATATAAATGAAATTATATTGTTTGTGGTCTCTGAAGAGTCTCTGCTCGTTCTCGTGTCAATACATTTGAAGGAAAAATGTGACAGATTCAATGAATTTAGATGTTAAACTATTAAGTCATTTGCTATTGGGCTGCTACCCGACTAGCAAATGACGCTAATAGCTGAAGGCCTTGAGTGACCAAAGTTGTTAGCTCAGTGAGGGATGCATTTGAGCTTTGGTTACTTGCAGAGCGCTGGTTTGTGTCATCAGAGTGTGGTTGTCTGCGTTTTTTTAAATAGGGTGGAGGTCTGCCTCTGCCCAATGACCAGCACTTTTCCTCTGTATGGCCTGTTTTGTGACAGGAATTACAGAGTCTGCTCAGTTTTTCACCGTATGGTTTTCTGAATTCTCCTGTAAATGGAGGATTTTCATGACATTCTAACACAGCTACCTCACCATGCATCTGTTTTCGTGACTCAATTCTTGTTGCCCAGCTAACAATACCTTCGAATGTATTTTTTGCTGGAGAAGCACCATACATGACCGATTGCTGTACACGCGGCCCTGCATTTGTAAGTAGTAATTCAAAGAGAGTTACATTGTTGTGGTTAACACCTTCAATTCCAGAATACTCCTCAAACAGTTCAAACATTTTTTCTGCATATGTCTCGAACGATTCTTCAGTACTCTGTTTCCGATTGAAAATCAGTTCCCATCCAACAGGACTACAACCACGTAGATCGCGAAGACATTGTTTTAGTCTATTAAAGATTTCACCCTCAGGCTCATTTTGATACATTGACTGCACAATGTTGCCTGTCATCAAAGCCTGTGGTATCTTGTAGTTCAGAACATCTGGAATTGAGCTGATAACAATTTGCCAAATATCTTTTGGTTCAAGCTGAAATGCATGTTTTAGGCTAACAATGCGTCTCCACCATGGTTCGAATGGCCCTTTCAAAGGCAATGGTCCGATCTCTGCTTTAAACAAGCTACATTCAGTTACCGTTAGAGGACGCCGAATGGTTGACTCGGTGCCGTTTGGGTGCCGTATCACCTTAAAGGCTGAAACAGGCACTCTGTTCAAAACTCTATCACATGCTTCACCTGTCTGAAAAGATACAGGATTATTAGAGCAGGCTGGCTCATTTAAGAAGTGCACATTTTTAGTCCCATCGCTGTTGAGCGTTTTGGGAGACATGGACTTTTTAGCATTTAGTTGAGCCTTAAGATCTGCAATGGTGTATTTGTGATTTTTACACTTTTCAGTCAGGGCTAATTCCTCAGCTAGTAATTTATCTAGCTGTGTTTGAAGATCTTGAATCTTTGCCTCAGACATTTTTGCCTCTGCATTTTTAGAATGCACTTATTCACATTTAACATCCATAAGCAAAGATAGAAATGTTGTTGACTTATCTAGCCGTTTATAACTCATGAATTTTAAAGCCTCAGTTATTTCACCATGTTTTGATTTCTTCTGCTTACTACCCACTGTTTTCCACCAAGTGACAATTTCATTGTCAATAGCGTCCATGTTAAGACCTTTTTTACTGAGTTTGTACAGTGTAGGCTCGACCTTTTATTGCATACGTATGCAATAAAATCACAGGTTTTGCATACGTCACAACTTGGCTGTATACAAAATGCACAAAGATAAGGGAATCAAGTTCAAAAGTCTTTAATAATCTAAAGTGAACATAATCAAAGCCAGGCAGGCAAACAAAACATAATCATAACATAGACGGGACCAAACAACTAACAGAAACGCAGGAACTTAAATACAACAGTCAAACAAGGTAATTAATCAAACACATCTGAACAGAATGACAAATCAAATTAACATCCATGACAACAAACTAACCAAGAAAGTTTAACCTGAACAAATCATAACTCTTTATTACAGTAATAGTCTCTTGAGTAAGTTTGTAACATATTAACTCCGTTACAATGCACATAATTATGAAAAAAAAAAAAAAAAACTCATTTCAGGTGATGCAAGTAGCTTGACTCTGACACATTCTGACTGCATGTGTGAAGTGTTGTCCATCCTGCATGCTCTGAGTGCACTCTCTGTGATGCTAGGCGAATGACTAGCTGACATCATTTGGTGTGGCTTCATGAAGTGGTGAATACCTGTCCTGTCTTTAAAGAGTGAAGATCATATTTAAGACGTATATTTTGTGATATCTGCAGGGTGTACTGTGGTATGTTCTCTTTCTTTTGTTGTTGGTTTGTGTCTCCTGCTCTCCTTTGGCTCCTCCCACTCCTCCACGCTGACAGGAAGCCTGATTGCTCCCCCAGCTGGACCTGCTTAGCAACCGGGAGGGAAGCAGCATAAAAGCAGAGCAGAACTCATTCAATGAGAAACCTTTTCTCAAAAGTGTGATCTGTGTCCTGCCTAGGCCAGTTTTTGAAGCTATTGTCTGCTCCTGAAACCATTGCTTCCCATTAAGTTATTGCGTGTCTAACTACAATGAAGACAGGAATAGATACTGCTTTGTACATTTACTCCAGAAACATCTGACATTCATTTGATATGACATTGGCTGACAGGTTATTTCAGTATTCATTTATTATAGTGCCATTAAAAGATACAGGAAAAACTGGTTTGCCTTTTTACAACACTTAATTAGAACTCCTTTGAATAGGCCTACACTCACTGCCAAATAAAATTACAAAAATAAAAAGTGATGCCTTAACTATTTCTTTGTGATAGAGGAAATCCAAAGCATTTTATGAAGGAATATGACTAAAAGGGTAGTGCCAGCTCTGTATGTGTGCTGGAAACTGCTAATATACAAACTTTTATATGGTCTGAAGTTCAACGTACTAAACAGTAAAATTACTACTGTAAGAATGTCCTAAAATTACTCAATTATATTTTAAATATACATACATGTTGAAAATACAGTGGTCTGTTTAGGGTAACTCTGACTTTACCCCTTACATCCCTCTCTCTCATCTAACAGGATATTCTCAATCAGGTCCTGTAGAGTGGAGAAGCTCGGTCTGTCCTCGCTGTTGAACTCCCAACACTGCATCATAATATTGTGCACCTGAAAAAAAAATAAAAAAAAATAGTAACACTTTACAATAAAGTAGTTTCATTTGTTAACATTAGTTGACTACATTAGTGTCAGAGTCATGTTTAGTCTTATTGTGTTTTCGTTCATGTGTCTTGTGTTTCCTTGAGGTTTAGTTCCTGTTTTCTTAGATACTGATTCCTCCCTGGTTAGTTTCACCATATATATATATATACTCCATATTTGTTTTGATGGCTGCAACACACTCCAAAAAAGTTGGGACAGGGGCATGTTTACAACTATGTCACATCACCTTTTCGTTTAATTTAATTACACTTTTTAATTTTTGGTTGAGGATACTAATTGTTGCATTTTTGCAAGTTGAATTTTTGCCCAATCTCGCCTGATACAAATCAGCTCAAAAGTCTGTGGTTGTCTGTGGTTGACATCCATACTGGATGTCTTGCTTCCTAGGAAAAATCTTGATGGCAGTATATGTCTCTGTACAATCCCAATATAGGTTACGCCTCCATGTCAATACCTTCACACACATGCAAGTCACCCATGCTGTTTGCACTGATGCACCCCTATACCATGACAGATGTTTGCTTTTGCACCTGTCGCTGATGAAAGTCTGGATGGTCCTTTTCGTCTTCTAGGGACTAAGAACCCGAAGCCAGTTTTTCCAAAAAACAAGCTGAAATGTGGACTCATCTGAGCACAGCACACATTTCCACTGTCTTTTGGATAATCTGAGAGGAGCTCACGCCCAGAGAACTTGGCAGGATCTCTGCATTGAATAGATGTATAGCTTTCTCCTTGCGTAACAGAGACTCAAGTGGCATTTCTTGATACAGCGACAGACGGACAGACAAAAAAAAAAACGGTTTTCCAAAGAACTCCCGAGCCCATGTGGCTGTATTTAACACCGTAGCATGATGGTTTCTCATGCAGTGCCATCAAAATTCAATTAATTTGGTCAGTGGAAACTTTTGTCAGTTAAATAAAGGTTCAAGAGAATTATCAAATCAAAGATTCTTGATTTACAAAATGTTCCAACTTTTACGGAAATGGGGTTGTATGTATATGTTTGTTGCTTGGACTTGCTGTCTATGTACAATGTATCAAAATTCGATTGGTTAACGTGACCATAACAAATGCATTCAAATCTGTTTTTATTTGTACCTTTGGTGGACACTGAGGGGGCTCCGGTAACCTCCAGTTATTCTTGAGAAGATTAAGAAAATGGATGGCCATGGATGAACTCTGGACATAACTTCCAATCTTCTGGATACACAACTGCATGAAATGATTTACAATAAAGCAGGTTTATAAAGTTAATACATTTAAAGATTTGGAACAACATCCAGCGAGTCTATGATGACAGAATTTATTTATTTTTTAATTTGAAATTAAACATCAAAAAGAGGCCATTGAAGCTCACGGTGACAGTCATTCATCTACTCCTCATACAGTAATACCATTACATGGAGTTTGATTTACTCACCCGTTTGGGGTTTCGACTGATGTCACAATAAGATAAGAGCTCATGTAGAACAATGCCGAAACTCCATACGTCTGACTTGTGGGAGAATTTCAGGTCTGAAATGGATTCAGGTGCATACCTAAACAGGGAACAGCACATGGAAAAACAAAAGGAATGAAACGCAACGTTTTACCGATTTAACTAATAGACCAATCAATCTCTGTGCAAAAATGAAATAATGATGCTGCCATCTTTCTAAAGTAATTTTTATACCCCTGTAATTGGCTCCAAAACTATTAAATGGTGGATTACTCAGTAAATATACATCCATGACATTTAACATTTTGGCTTTCCTCTTTATGCATTTCTTTCTAAAAATTTTGCCGGGGACCTCTGGTTGAGCTGACACGGAATGACACGGTTGCTGTCTGTCGGCACAGTGTGAGTTGGCCTTTATGTGTACTTGTTGTTTGTAAAAAAAAATACAGTATTTGTGCAATTAGAACATTAACATTCAGTGCTATGTTCACTGTTGGGTTAAATGCACACAAATCAAGGTAACACTTTACAATATGGGTGCACTAATATGCATGATTTCATGCTTAACTAATGCCCAGATAATGAGTTAATGTACAGTAGCCTATAACTCATGAAGAACTAAGACATGATTGCCACATCAGCACCTGTTAAAGAGTCTATCTGATTAATAGATTAAGTCATATATGAATTGTTATTAATTAAATGTGTCATCACGGATTAATTCCCTATAAACATCTAGTATGAACTTATAGTGTAAATGAATGTGTTAAAGGAATAATTCACCCCCAAAATAAAAATTCTGTTATCATTTACACACCCTCAAGTTGTTTCAAATCTGTATGAATTTCTTTCTTCTGCTCAACACAAGAGAAGATATTTTGAAGAATGTCAGTAACCAAACAGTTGATGACTTCCATAGTATTTTTTTTCCTACTATGGAAGTCAATGGGGTCCATCAACTGTCTGGTTACCGACATTCTTCAAAATATCTTCTTTTGTGTTCATTAGCTGATGATGACAGTTTTGATTTTTGCAAATCATTAGCTGATATCATGTTATGATTACTTGCTGAGACACATTATTAAGTAATGTGGCATTATGGTTATGGTATTGACATCCACGTTAACGTTTGAGATTTGTGGGACAGTTGCACAGTGAATGTAATGTCAGAGAATGTGTTTCAAGGATGGGTAAGTTGGGCTGCACACAAAAATCAGCATACAAGAATCATATGAGTCATACATTAAAGGAGAACTCCGGCGCAAAATGAACCTTTGGTCTAATTACACATTGTTACCTAGTCAACCGTTATCTGAGATTTGTTTTCATGATTATCGAATGTAAATAGTTTTATCTCTAAAAATAGTTTAGCCTATAAAGCTAGTATAACGCTAGTATATTGGGCATAGTGTAATGACAAATAAAAATCGCTTGTTAAAACCACTAACAAGGCTCAAAATAGCCCCACACTAGCACGGAAGCATAATGAGGGTCCCTACCTTCAAACCGAAGCATTGAGAACTTTGTAAGTGTACAGACAGTTTAATAAGAAGATATTTTAAACATACAGTCAACTTCGCGTATACAGGCAGAAGCCATCTTTGAAAAAGAGTCTCTACCAGTCGATCTACGAACGCCGATCCAAGTGCGCTGGTGAGATGTGAACGAGCTATAAGTTGTGATAAGGTGAGCGCGAACAGCAGGCTTGGATCGGCGTTCGTAGATCGACTGGTAAAGGCTGTATTTCAAAGATGGCTCCTGCCTGTATACGCGAAGTTGACTGTATGTTTAAAATATCTTCTTATTAAACTGTCTGGACACTGACAAAGTTCTCAATGCTTCGGTTTGAAGGTAGGGACCCTCATTATGCTACCGTGCTAGTGTGGGGCTATTTTGAGCCTTGTTAGTGGTATTAACAAGCGATTTTTATTTGTCATTACACTATGCCCAATATACTAGCGTTATACTAGCTTTATAGGCTAAACTGTTTTTAGAGATAAAACTATTTACATTCAATAATCATGAAAACAAATCTCAGATAACGGTTGACTAGGTAACAATGTGTAATTAGACCAAAGGTTCATTTTGCGCCGGAGTTCTCCTTTAACTCAAGATTATCGGTACATTAGTCTAATATGCATTAGAATTAATGCATATTAGTGCACCTGTATTGTAGTGTTACCCTAATCAGTTATCATGTTGTCTGTCTGAATTCCCAAGAGATTGAAGTAATTGTCACCAGAAAATAGGGCTTTCTCCTGGCTGCGTGACACGGTAGTACTCTTTATCCACTGGGATGATCTTCGTAAGCCCAAAGTCAGCGATTTTCACCAGTGAGTCGCTGGCGACTAGGACATTGCGAGCAGCTAGATCACGGTGAACATAACGCATGCTTTGCAAGTACTCCATTCCCTACAAAAGAGAGTTACATTTCTGGTTAGATGTGTAAAGTTCCACAAATCATTTCAATTGAGCTAATCTGACCTGTTATCTGATTTTAAAAAGTCTGTTTGTACCTTACAGATTTGTGAGGCAAAGAGCAACAGTTTGCGGGTGCACACATTCTGTCTGTGTTTCTCCATATATCCGATCAGACTGCCGTACGGAAGATATTCCATCACCAGTTTTGTGCTAAGTCGACCTGTGACGAGTTCAAAAATAAGGAATGGGCAGGCTGTACAGATTGGTAATTGGTTGGTAATTATCAAATGTATAATCTGACCTGCACTGTAGCAGATGCCCTTGTATTTGACAATATAGTCACAGTGCAGGGAGCTGATGGTCTGGATCTCTCTCTGAAAGTCTGCCATGTTGGCTTGTTTGTTAGCCTGAAGTTCCTTGACAGCAACCAGATCTCCAGTGTTATCACCGAACGGATCATATCGACAAAGCTCGACGCTGCCAAAGTTACCCTAAACACACACCATGCACACAGTTAAAACCCATCAATCTTCTTTTCTTTTTTTGCTCAGAAAACCAATAGTCATAATCATCACGTTTAGTTACATGCGAGCTGTAATGTATGAAATAGCAAAGTATATCAGCCAGTTTCATAAACATAGCCACTATGTTAAGACTGTGTTTTAAGAACTAACCAAGGGGTAATCAATGGGTCTTACTTTTTGGATTCAAATTAGACCAATCTACCTTTTTATGTAACTGCTTTAAAAAAGTTATGAAAGTCTTTTCTAAATGACTAACTTGTTAGATTGTCAGATCATTACGTACATTAAAACACTTAGTTTATTATCACTAAGGCTATTCTAAACTGCTAGGCTTTGCTGCAACCGGCTGCAGAGCTGTGTTATTAAATGTACAACAGCGCCCTCTATGGGTGGAATATTTCTCCACATTGTACCTTCCCCAGAATAGAGATGAATCGCAGGTATCTCTCCTCAAAAACATCCTGTTGTTGCTTTTTGAAGATGTTCGGTCTTCTACAGAAGCCATCGCTCTTGGGGAGTGTGCCAGTCGCATGAAGGATCTCATAATCTACAGAATGACGATTAGAACTGTCATGACGGCTGATCATAATGTTCCCACATGTTTTAGGACAAATCTAACCCAGATGTAGGAGTCATTTTTTATAAACAATAAAATAAATAAACTTCCTCAATAAAAAGCTCAACTTCAGAGTAGCAATGAAATCTTTTAATTAAAATTCATGGAAATAATTATTATTAAAGTAATATCAACATAACACAATAATAATAATGATAATGGATGTATTCAATAAAGTAAATTGATTGCATATTTCATATTTTAATATACCCCTTAAATGTCAAACATTAATAAATAACACTTACTAATAAAATCATTATGTATTAAATATTATATTTAATATTGACATTTTATTAAATTGCTTTTGTATTAGTTAAACATTTCATATTTATTATATAAGAGATGTATATATATATATATATATATATATATATATATGTATTATGTATATAAGAGGACTATATATTATTTAATAAATAAGTGGAAAATAATAATTCATTTAAAGCATGTATTTAATGATAAAATGATAATATTAATTACATTTACATTTATTATATTAGAGATTTATTACTTGCATTCATTTTATAAATGGGATAATAACTTGCATTCATTTTATAAATGGGATAATAACAGTTTCATATGTGAAAAGGAAAGTGTTCTTCCAGATCACAAACATCAGTGTCATTGTGAGAAGGGAGCTGATGTACATCTGTGTGTTACCTGAAGTGATGAGGCTGTTAAGTTGTCGGATGATGCTCCGGCAGGACGGTCTGAGCTCAGGCTGGTACTGCATACACTGAGCGATCAGCTCGGCCAGCTCAGTCCACTCCAGCGCAGGCAGGTTTGAGAAGTGCTCATAAAACTGCCGCTTCTGGATACAAAAAAGGACAGCAGCTGTTCAGCCACAGAACAATGGTGGAGTCACATTGCCTGAGTATATGCCCAGCTAACAGAATTTTGTTATAAGAACGTTCTCCAAATATTTAGTGTTGGTTCTGGGAACGTGAAAAATTTCCAGTTTTCTTGACGTTAGAGGAACGCGTTTAAAAGGTATAATGTTCCTCAAACGTTCTTTAAACGTAATTATCGATAAAAAAAATTCAACATGATAATAATGTTGATTTCTAACATACCAAGAACATAAAAATGTCCAGTTTCCCAAAACTCAAGAGTGTTAAAGAGTCAAGAGTGTTAAAGTATTAAAATCACATTTTCTCTTTGTTCATCTGGCTGTCATAACAAAAAATCTAAAGTTAAACATGTAAAGGTCAACTGCCCAACTAAACCAAACACTGATCCCCATAATGGTGACTAAATTCGACTTTTCTTCTTCAGTGATTCTGCTTGTTATCATCAGGTGTCTTCAATAATGCTCAATCATCACTCAATCAATAACTTAAATAGCACATTAACTTTAACTCTCTTCAGTGTTAATTTAAAACTCAAATTTTAACACTCTTGAGTCTTTAACACTCTTGAGTTTTTGCTGTGTAGTAACATTTAGGAAACTGGACATTTTTATGTTCTTGGAATGTTAGAAATCAACATCACTATCATGTTGAATTTAATCAAATTACGTTTAAAGAACGTTTGAGGAACATTATACCTTTTAAAACACGTTCCTCTAACGTCAAGAAAACTTGAAATTTTTCACGTTCCCAGAACCAACACTGAATATTTAGAGAACGTTCTTATGACAAAATTCTGTTAGCTGGGTGCGTAGCTCTCAAATTTTTAAAGGTTGTGGTGATCTTTATCTAGAATGTGTAACATCGTAACATCGTTTATGATTCTATATTAATTGTGAGGTGTATGTACTTGTATGAGGTCCTGGCCCTGCAATGGAGCTTCTCCACCATTGAAAATCTCCCACAGCGTTGTTCCAAAACTCCACTTGTCACACTCCAGTTCGATCTCAAGTGTATCCAGAACCTCCGGGGCCACCCATGGGATTCTGTCCAACACCACTGGATTCACAGAAATGTGCATTTTATTCTTTTATATACAATCATGTTAGGGTGTAATATAATATTCAGCAAGAATTAGACAAAAAGCACACACATCCAGTGGGCAAACAGCTCAATGATTGAGAAAAATGCTTAAACTAATTTTTACTAACAATTTACTTAAAGCCTTTATGTATAATACATTATAAAGGTATTCATATATACGTTATAATGCATTATATATTTTCATTAGTAATTGTAACCATGATCATAATACATTATGCATTAAAACACGACAAACAACCAATTTCAGATGTAACAAGAAATCTTCAAATATTATAATGCCTTGGTTACACTTATTTATGAAAAGATATAATGCATTATAACATACATTATGCACATTTTTTATTGCATGTTCTTACCGAAAGGGAATTTTCGAGCCATGCATGGTGAAATTAATTCTTAATGAGAGCTAAATAAAGAATCTATTATTATTCTCTCTAGTATTCATTTCAAATGCAAATTATTCTAGAAGAGTAAATTAAATTGATTTTGTTCAACTTCATTGGTTTGATATTGATCTAGTTGTTCAATATAATTACCCTCTTTTCCCAGCATTGCCATGCTGATGCCAGGGTCACTCAGTTTAATGAAGGGTGAGTTATCGGAGGAAGAGTCACCCTCTCTGGCCAACAGCAGATTCCTTGCACAAACATTCCCATGTGCAATATTCTTCTCCTCCTGCATATGACAGACAAACGAAAAATGTTTTTTTTAAGCACTGCCGAAATCAGGGCTGGGATGCATCCCCTCAAATACTGAGAACTGAAGTCAATCAATATGAGTTTTTGAATGAAGGATTCTTGACTCTGCAACTTTTACATTTGGTTCTTCTCAATTCTGTATATTTTGTTGCATTCTTTCCAGAATATACATACCATAAATACACTTTTTTTTTTTTTTGTGAAAGAAATTAATAAGTTTATTCAGCAAGGATGCATTAAACTGACCAAAAGTGACAGTAAATACTTTTACATTATTACAAAGAACTTTCTATTCATCAAAGAAAACTTTACTCATCCACCCTTTTATTGATAATAATAAGTTCTGTCAGGTCCATTAAGTCAAGAACACACAAACAAAATAATTTAGAATTTAATTGAATAGATTGCAAACAGGTTGATGTTCCTGAATTGAAATTTGGCGGTATGGCTCTGTTCAGGGAGTCCTCTGACCTTTCATGAGCACCATGAAATAGCAGAGAGTCAGAGGACAGCAGCAGCAGCATTAGGGAACACTCACACGGTTTTAGACTGTGAGAGCTAAAATATCCCCCTGTGAACAGAGCAGGCAACATGACCTAAGCAAATGCCACATTATGCATAAGGAGGAGCTGGGGAGGTGGCGGACAGCAGAAGCGAGCAGCGAGCCAGCAGAAGCGAGCCAGCAGAGCGAGCAGCAAGCATGTATGAGCAAGGTGAATGAGCTTTAAATAGGGCGCCTTGTTTGAGCTTTGGCCATTGTGCAGCGAGGGGAGTTAACCAGCTAATGCGGCTCAGCTGGAGCAGATCAGCTGACGGGACAGTGTTGATAGCAAATAGCATAAGCAGCGGCTTGACTACCTGGCCTGCCAGAACTGACGCTGACGCTCAATTTCTGTCAGGTCCATTAAATCAAGAACACACAAACAAAATAATTTAGAATATAATTGAATAGATTGCAAACAGGTTGATGTTCCTGAATTGAAATTTGGCGGTATGGCTCTGTTCAGGGAGTCCTCTGACCTTTCATGAGCACCATGAAATAGCAGAGAGTCAGAGGACAGCAGCAGCAGCATTAGGGAACGCTCACACAGTTTTAGAATGTGAGAGCTAAAATATCCCCCCAAACAAAACCACACCTGGCAATCCTCTGTGATACAGAGGATGATTTATTTGACTACATGAGCTATTCCCCCCAAAACAAAATTTAGTGTCTCGAACAGTGTCGACTGAGCCGCCCTAATTTAGCGATTTATAATATTTATAATAGTAAAAATATTAATTAATACTGAAATGACTAATCAAGACCGCAATAGCTAAAACATGCTGTTACCTAGATTATCTGTCTTTAAACTGTTTGATAGCTCTGTCTTACAGTGTAAGTTCTATGGATAGATGACTAATCCACCTCTGAGAACGAGCTAGATGAATAAATTAACAGCTGATAGCGCATTCAGGGGCGTTAACTGAGCAGAGCGCGAGCAAAATAATGATCAAATGTGTTTTATTAACGAAACAAATCAGAGACTTGAGCTCATGGCTTTCTGGGCGTCAAGAGTATCCCGAACATCGGGACGGAGGTATCGTTCGTAAGCAGCAGAAACCACCGCCCCATAGTTTAAAGGGTTAAACCGGAGCGAGTGTCGCCGCCATAGTTGCTGCACAATGCGTAAGAATGAGCTGTATACGGTCCGGAACCGGAGCATGGTCCGGAGGCAGTCCATCCTATCACAGCAAGCTGCTTGAATCTGCGCTGCATAGTGGTAAAAGCCAGCGTGAGCAACGCGATCAGTTGCCAATGACAACAATAGTAACGCACATAGCCAATATGATCACATAGCATTTTTACAAAAACGACTATTAGATAAGCCCAAATGCCACACGGATAGCATTAACAACAAGCATGTTGCCAACACACTGATGCTTTTAGCAATGAATATTAAAAGGAACTTAGCTTCGTGAAACTTCAGAGATGAATGGAGAAACGAATCACGTCGAATCCTGTGTCAATATTGCAGCAGCAGCGAGCCAGCAGAGCGAGCAGCAAGCATGTATGAGCAAGGTGAATGAGCTTTAAATAGGGCGCCTTGTTTGAGCTTTGGCCATTGTGCAGCGAGGGGAGTTAACCAGCTAATGCAGCTCAGCTGGAGCAGATCAGCTGACGGGACAGTGTTGATAGCAAATAGCATAAGCAGCGGCTTGACTACCTGGCCTGCCAGAACTGACGCTGACGCTCAATAAGTGTTTCTTGAGCAGCAAATCAGCACATTAGAATGATTTCTGAAGGATCATGTGACACTGAAGACTGGGGTAACGATGCTGAAAATTTAGCTTTGCCATCACAGGAATAAATTACATTTTAAAATTCATTCTAATATAAAACAATTATTTTAAATTATAATAATATTTCACAACATATTATATGTTTTATATTTTTGGTAAGTACCGGTAAGTATAAGAGACTTCTTTCAAAAACATGAAAAAATCTTATTGAGCCCAAATTTTTTAATGGTAGAGTATATTGTATCTTAGATTATAGGGGCTTGTTCTCTACCAATATTAAATGTCTAGCTGAAACCAAAAAGACATTATTTTTATGTTATGACTGATAAATGGCCAATATTCAAAATCTCCTTACGGATTATTTAACCCAAAAATAACAGTTTTCAATGTTTTAAAAGTTTTTTTTTTTTAAAGTTCTGTATTTTGTCATTAGTTTATCATGCATGGATGGATATGTCTCACCAGGAAGTTGAGAGCACAGGCCAGTTGCTTGGCCACGTCTAGTTTCCAGCTGACTGAGACAGACGTGCTCCTCTTCAGGTACAGGTCCAGTGCCCCGTGCTTCACAAACTCCTGCACCATAATGTCTGCGGGGGACAGGGAGGACACACTTTAGTCACATGGTTGCATTCACAGGTACTTTGACAGGCAACCAGCATCACCAACGACACTCCAGACCTACTCAAGAGTTCAAGAAAATGTAAAGAGCTGAGGTCATTACACAGACTTTTAATTGCTTTTATTTGTCCTCTTGTGTTTAGACTGATAAAAGAGTGACTCCTAAGAGTGCTTTTACGTGACTTACTTTTGGATTTGTGCACGCTGATGCCATATACCAGGAGAAGGTGCTTGTGGGAAATTTGACTCATCAAACTGGCCGCCTCAAAAAAAGACTTTAAAACAGGGAGAAAAGGCATAATTAAATGGCTGAAAATACAAAATTGCTGTAATTAGGGTTCCTACACCTTTTCCATCTCAATTTTCACATTTTCAGACCATATTTAACATAAATGGTTCTTACAGCATTCTTTTCAGCATAATATTTGGTATAGTAGTCAACTGTAAATATTATTTTCTCAGGGTTTCATTGGTTTTCTCAAAGTGACAACATCCATTGTCACTTTGAGAAGAAACCTAAAACACTTTATGCCCTGCATATATTCATCAGTTTGATACTGCAAATGTGGTTTGATTTTGCACAATTACCAAACAGCAAAGTGCAGTCTGAGTAAAGTTCAAAAGATGGTAAAGACAAATTTTGCGTAATGTAAATTTTGTGTTTGACAATCATTAAATGACCACTAAACTTTTGCCATGAAAACACCCAGCTTGTATGATACACTTGTATTTAGAAATTCTTAATTTTATATTTTAAAAAACTGAATAGGGGCAATAATCTAAAAACACAAAAAAAAATTCCATACTTCTCCAGACCTGGAAATTACCCAAATCAAAATTCCATACCTTTCCAAACTGCATAGGAACCCTGTGTAATCATTATTTACACAAGCTCTTTATTACATGTCACAACCATGTTCAGCATATGTTCCAGGAATGAAAACACACCTCCCAGCAGTTTTTATGATTTGCATCCAGGACCTTCAGAAGCACCTCTGTGGAGTGTGTCACTCCGTCCCGCTGGTCTGTCTTACTCCCTCTAAAGATATGCGTGAAGGAACCTTGGCCTAAGCTTTCCCTCTGTTAAAAGAAAAGGAAGGAGCTTGACTTGAGTCGTATTGAGGTTAGACATTTTGTTGTTAAAATTCATCTTTTGACCTCCCTAAAATTCAATACAAAAAATTAAAAAATTAAAAACACTTTCAGTCAATTTTGAAAATAATAAATAATAAAGATAAATTTAAACTGCCCCTATTGTGCTTTTTCAAATATAACCTTTCACACAGTGAGGCCTGGAAAGGTTTGGTTTGTCGACATGTCGAGAAGATGCTGGTTGCAGCACTGCAAATTCACTTTTCATGCATTTCAAAAGGATGAGGACTCATGCTAGCCAGGTCCCACCAGACTCTCGTACATTTCATTTGTACAAAGAGTCTGGCCTCGCTCCATTGACAAGCGTTAACTTCCTTGTAGGCGGGTACTCTGTTACAGTTTAAAATGATTGGATCTGCCCAGAGCCACTCTGGATCTGCCATAACCAATCGCTAACGTTTGGTCGTGACGTATGACGACTCAAACTAGCGCAAGACATCATCGTTCTCAGCCACTCCCTCTGTTCGCTGATTGGACCAGTAAAAAATTGACGGAGAACACCAAAGAATACACCACAAACCCAGACGTAGTACTGAAGGAAAATGAAAATTGAGCGGAAGTACGTAGGAGGGAGGAGCCAGGCTAGACTCACGCTGGAATTGATACGGAAATAACAACGCCATAGTTAGTGTTTGTATCACTGTATCGAGTGCTAAGGAAGCCTCTGGAGCTGAAATTCAGATAAAGTAATGGCCGTTTTGTTTCCGACACACGCTGTAAGCGATAGACCAATCACAACAGACTGGGCCATCTGACCAATAAGAGGAGAGTGGGCTTGAGGAAAGAAGGGGCTTAGTGAGACTGAATCTTCTAACAAACCATTTTAAAGTGTTTTTTGACCTTGGATGCATGTAAACCTATAATTGTAGGAGATCTCCAAATCCAAAACAAAATCAGGAACCTTTAAAATAGCATAATAGGGGCACTTTAAAAAAATAAATAAAATAATACATTTTTATGCCCTCAAACGAGTGGTGATACCTCTAAACATTCATGAAAATGTATTTAAACCCTTTATGAATTTGTATAAATGTACCCAGGTGATGTCATCGTGTTTAATCATGTGGAACTGCATGTGGCTCGGGTTTTGTCTCTGTAACATGGGGGAACTGGGCATCTCAGCCATACTGCTGTTACGAACAATGATCATGTTGGTAAGTTCTGCAGAGAAGACAAGAAATAGCACATAAAAAAATCCTTGAAATATATATCAATATTCTGGTGAAGTTACTTTATTATTTTTCGATTATTTATTTGATTCAATATTATATGTAGAAAAACACAAAGCACAAAAGCAAATATTTCACAGAAATGTTCTACCTTTTGGTCTGGGTGGGCAGCACTTGCCCAGGGTGACGGGGATGTCTGACATGAGAAGTGTACTGTGCTGATAGAAGTCTGTGAGCTGTCTTAGACTGCAGAATGAGCTGTGGATCCCAGCCAGGCTGAACTTCTCATTTTTCTCTATCAGGCAGTCCTTGTAATCCATCCCCAGAGGAGTCTGGTGGAACATCCAGAAGTTAAGAAATATATCACTGGAGTTTAGTCATTAACAATGTGTATAATTAAAATAAGGTTATGCTGGAGTTGTTTTAAAATTCACATTATAATAATACTAAGGAGCAATGTTGGGGAAAGTTACTTTTAAAAGGTAATTCATTACATTATTTAGTTACTTTTTTATGGAAAGTAATGTGCTACATTACTTTTTCTCACCTGGTTGAGGCTTGCTCTTTTTCTAGGTTTTTTATTTTTATTGTTTTACTTTAATACAGCAAAGCATTCAACAACATATCTTAGATAACACACCATCGGTTTCTTTTAAAAATACATTTAGAATATTATTATATTCTGCCCACTTGGAATATTTCCTAACCTCTAGAGCTATGTATGCCGTATAAAATATATCTTCACATTATGGATTATAATGCCTAATGTATAACTCTTTTTATTGAATTATTTTCTTTATTCTTTTCTTTTATTTGTTTTGTACTTTTTGCCTGTTCCTGTGCACACATGAGTGTGCATGTCTAAGTGACTACCTTATGGAGAAGAGAGCATTTTAATTCAGCGGTTTAAATACATTTTCAGCAAATTAATTAAAATGAAAAGTAATATGCATTACTTAAATAAAAGCAACTCAAATATTAATGTGTAAATTTATTAAGTATTGCATTACTTTACTCATTTCATAAAAATAAAAAAAATCTGATTACGTAATGCATGTTACCTCAACACTGCTAAGGAGTGATAAATAAAATGTAGTTCTTCATGAATCCGATATAAACTCATTTGAAGCTTGGAGTTATGAGTCATGTGCTGTTTTTTAGTTACTTACTGTTAGTGAAAACCCAATGCTTGGTGCTTTATAATGTTTGTATGAGTCCAGCAAATCTGGTACCTGTATGCAAACAGTGAGGAAGTACTTGTCAAAGTCCTTGGGACTGTGACGTAACAGGAACATCCCATTTTTGGCTCCAGCTTTCTTAAGCTTGTGCACTGCAAATTCTGACCTTTAGGAAACACAACAAAAATTCTGCTTATAATTTAGTTATTTCCTTTCTAGTTTTACCAAATGGGTATATATGAAATTGTGTAGTACGTGATCGGGCCGTGGCAGTAATTCTGTATGTCCTCCAGTAAGCTTGGCGGGGCCACCTCTGCGCAGAAATAGTGAGTCGAATCTGTAGTCAGTCTAAAATATCCATCAACCAGAGATACAAAGGAAAGAGCCTCAGTTAAGGTGTGAAACTCAGCCTCCTATTGGTGGAAAGAGAAACAAAATAAAAAAATGTTATATGAATGGCTATGTAATGTAGATTTCAACAAAGAACTTTGTAACAAACACAAGGTACAATTTGTTATACTTTCATAAACCTTGGTTAATCAAAATGGTAGATTAATTTTTAATACAAAAAAAAAAAATTTAATAAATGAATGCAATGCCTCTACCATGCACTGGTCGTCCTGGCGTGTGAGGGTGACCACCCTTCCTTCCAGGGGCATCTGCTCTTGACAAAGCCGCTTAATACTAATGTCTGTGATCTGGGGGAAATCACAGAACGTCTGCCATTCCTGTGAATGATACCAGAGGTAGCTCAGTAAATAACAGAGTGCAAGTCTAATGTACTGTACATACTGTTTAAATGTTTGGAGTAAGATTGTTTGTAAGATTTTTTACATTTTTAACTTATGCTCACCAAGGCTAAAATTGGAATTTAAAAAATATATAATTTTTTTTTTAAATGTGTGAAATATTATTACAATTTAAAATATTTTTTTTCTATTTTAATATATTGTAAAATGTAATTTATTCCTGTGATGGCAAAGCTACATTTTCAGCATCATTACTCCAGTCTTCAGTGTCACATGATCCTTTAGAAATCATTTGAATATGATGATTTGCTGCTCAAGAAACATTTCTGATTATTATTAATGTTAAAAACAATGTGCTACTTAATATTTTTGTAGAAATTGTTACATATTTCTTTGATTAATACAAAGTTTTTATTCTTTTGTAACATTATAAATGTCTGTAACTCTTGTCCACTTTTGATCAATTTGATGCATCCACAATTGAATAAAAGTATAAAAATGAATTAAAATGAATGAAATAAAATTAAACAAATAATGTAGTTTTATAGATATAGATTTATGAAGAGTTAACAGTCTCAAGTTAACAGCCACTGACTAGCGGATTGTACATTTTTGAAAGCGTGACAAAATAAGCAAGATCGCATGTTAAATTAATTAAGATTCTCCAATTTTTTTCCAATTCAACACTTTTGATATTTACGTAATTATTTATATTTTTACAACCGGTTAACTCCGGTATAGGTGAAGACAAGAGCAAATGACAAATACATTTATGAGTACATTCAGGAACTAATCTATTGGCTTTATGGGGAGTCATTGAATCATTCACAGAACCGATTTGTTCAAATCACTTATTCATTCATGAACAAATCAAGAGGCTGCGTTTACGAGTGACTCAATGAATCATTCACTCAGCAGTTTCGTTCAAAAACACTGATTCGCCCTACTGTGTTTTGTCCATGCCACTGTGGCTTTGTTAGGAACTATTTTCTTTGGTGGAGCAAAAATAGACAAAGTAACTGGCAATATTTTATCTAAAATGTAAGTTACTCAAAATTAGCCTCTTGTTTATTGAACTTTTGTATTAAAACATCATCACACCGGCAGATGTACTGTCTAAATATCAACACGGCTACGCTTCTAGCCTACCTGGCTCTCCGTGGTCTGTATCTGAATCCCTCCCTCTCCAGACACCTGAACGGCTCTGACCCTCTGCTGCTCGCTCTGCTCTAACCATCCAGAGTGATGCAGAGTGAAGGTTTCTGAACCATAAGCCGGCTCCACCACATTCAGCTCCATCAGATACTTGAGCTTCAGGCTGCGTTCTCCAGCTGAGCATCTGCCCAGCTTCTTGAGGAAGCGCTTCAGGGTTTTGCGGATCTGATACCTCGCTAGGCGACTCATGCTCTGTATATCTCGTCTGTGAGTCTCTGGGAGGCAGGACTTGTAGCTGGAATAAGATTTTTTTTTTTTTTTTTTTTTTACCATGGTCAATGCAGCTTAAACACTTCAATTATGTTGAATGAACAGAAAATCTCTGCATAGTTCTATCCATCAATTTATTGGAGACTTTCTCCGTTTCTCATGTTGTAGCATACCTTGTTGTATTGCAGATCTCACCAAGGCTCTGGTTCCTCTCTTTGGCCATACGCCACAGATCTAGTACTGCCATACCCAAACATTCCTGCTGCAAACTCAAAGCAGGAGAAATCCCGCCACACCCAGACACAAAATCACTGCGGGACTGAAACAAGGAGGCAGTACATTTTAATGCCAGCTTTTTTTTTCTTTTCTTTTTTAATTATATCGATACATCATTAGGATAGAGGCACATAATCCTGGGTGTACATTTCACATTCACACATGGTTTTTAAAATAACATTCAATTGCCTTTTGAGAAGGCAATGATAAATGATTGTGCAATACTGTATACCTGAGCAAAAAGGTAATCAATGACGCAGTAGTCCAGCGCAGCACAGATTCGTCCTCTGCTGAGTCTAAAGCGGTACGATGCTCTGGACCCTTGACCAAACCAGCCTGAGAAGAAAAATCTTTAACACAGAGAGAAAAGCTTTACAATCACACAAACAGATTATCTCTTATAACACAACTTTCACTCTCTCGCTGTTTAATTTGTCCACTAGCAATCAGTGTTATTATTTATATGTTTCATTTTAATTTTAGTTTAAAGCTGCAGTCCACAGTTTGTCCTCTTTGTCGCCATCTCTGTTCGAAATCTTCAATTGCAGCTATTCGCGGAATTATCAACTTTACTTGAGTTGTGCCTCGACACCCTCGACACGGCACAGCGCGGATGAATCCAATGTTTGAGGAGAGCGTGCAGCTGTCAGTCGCCGCGCCGGTGTGGATTCTGTCATTATGAATCACAGATTCTACTTTTTGGAAGTATGACCAACATAATAATTTTCACCGGAAAATGTCATCTGGACAAGTAAGTAACATCCACTTTTATTCTGGTTCTGACCAACTAAGGGAAAAAAATAATTGCAGTAAATCGCGCTGATTAAATATAACAATCGCTTATCATAACACGTAAAACCGTGCAAATTATACATTGTTCTCAAATTGTTAATGTTCAACATCAGCATTGCGTGACTACATTTAATGCCCTTCCGATATTTATCCTTGTTTTCGCATGGGGCCGGTTGCAGTCTCTTTTCTGTAGCCACTCCGAAGTCTTTTGCATTTTACACCGAGTGAATCTCTAGTTGTCACTGGTGATTGTTGTTTGAACCTTTCTGGATCCGCCATCAAATTGATAAGTTTAATTATATCAAGTGCTGTGAGAAAAGGCTATAAATCTCCACCTCCCACATCCTCACACTCATAGCCTACTAGCCGAGACTCTTTCTTTATGTGTACAGATGTGACGTAATGACGCAAAGACATGCTCGAATCTCCCGCGGAAATCCACAAGCAATGGCCAACAATGCATTTCAGTGCACCACAGAATAATTCTGTAATTCTTTACATAGACTGTCTATGGAGAAACAGAAAAAAATATTATTGATTTAAAAATATTAAAAATATTTTAATTTGTGTTCTAAAGATGAACAAAAGTCTTACATGACATGAGGGTGAGTAAATGATGATATCATTTAATTTTTTTTGGTAACCCAGTAACTTCAAGTATGCTCTTCAAAGACACTATCGTCTTCTTGGTAACCAAACATTTTTGTTTGTGATGGAAATGACACCACAAATAAGGGTGTGTGAACATCAAAATAAATCATTTTCAAACGATAAATATTGACATTTTAGTTTATTGGAAACAACCAATATTCAGTAAGAGGAATCTATTTATAAATAAAATATGATTATTGCAGCAGTTTCTATACCTCACTCTGTAGTGAACTTTGATGGTCTCCTCATTCTTAAATACATGAGTTGGTGGATACCAGTATGAAAGATCTTCTGATGCCAGAGCAAACAGGTTGTGGAACACAGGAAGAATTCCTAAAAATATAAATATTCAATTCAGGTTATTGTAATATTGTTGATGCACAACTATTTTAAAATTTTATTATAAGATTACACATGAGCAGATTATTGCTTAAAGTGTAACTTATGCTTTAGTCATACTGAATCATCTAAAAAAGAAACCTAATAAAAGGTTATCATCAGCAACACCTCTGCAACATTTTTTAAAACACTTTGTAGATGTTATAAAGGAAGCAGATAAAAAAAAAAATGAAAAGAGTATATACTTAAAAATAGAAGCTTTTGACCTTTAAAAAACAGACATCATTATTAATCATGTTAAACGTCTCACCGCTGGCTTTTGCTGCTAGCATACACACACTTTCAGCTGTGATGTATATGGTGGGGATAGTAAAAGTGGTCTCTGAATTTAAGCAGGGGCTGTAGTACAGATGCACTTGCAGGGCAGAGTCACAGCTGGACTTCTGACTGCCGGCCCTTTCGCTCTTCATCAAGGGCACCTCCTCTTCACTCATGGTGTTCTCACCAAAGCAATCTCCTGATTGGACAAAAAGAACTGGAATTTTTTTTCTCAACAGATGCAGGTGTTTATTGACTGTTCTTTCTTGCCAAAACAGTGCATGTAATTGAAATTAGGATGTTATTAAAATAAGACTAATGGTTATTTCTGACAGAAAGTTAATTATTCTGATGTTAGAGGCATTAAGAAAGTGATAAAATAAGATAAATAAACCTGCATGTTCTGTTTGGAGCTTTTTTGAAGCTTTTTCAACTTTTACAAGAATAACATTGTTAAGGTATTAAAGTGCCCCTTTTATGCTTTGTCAAATATTACCTTTCACACAGTGTAATATAGCTGTTTGTGAATGGTTTTAAAGATCAGGGTACACAACAAATAAAGTTATTGTCTCCTAAAAGAAAAAATCAATTCTGAACTGCCTGTAATGAGTCTTCATTGACTGCCCGCAAACAACGTCTTCTTTGACAAAAAAAAACAAGTCACCATTTTTTCTATCACTGTGTATCGAGTGTTAAGGAAGCCTCCAGAAATTAAATTTAGGTATAGTAATAGACGTTTCGTTTCAGACACACACTGTAAGCGGTAGACCAATTACAACAGACTGGGCTGTCTGACCAATCAGACCAGAGTAGACCAATCACAACAGACTGGGCTGTCTGACCAATCAAAACACAGTAGACCAATCACAACAGACTGGGCCCTTTGACCAATCAAAACAGAGTAGACCAATCACACAACAGACTGGGCCATCTGACCAATCAGACCAGAGTAGACCAATCACAACAGACTGGGCCATCTGACCAATCAGAGCAGAGTAGGCCAATCACAACAGACTGGGCTGTTTGACCAATCAAAACACAGTAGACCAATCACAACAGACTGGGCCCTTTAACCAATCAAAACAGAGTAGACCAATCACAACAGACTGGGCCATCTGACCAATCAGACCAGAGTAGACCAATCACAACAGACTGGGCCGTCTGACCAATCAGATCAGAGGAGGCCAATCACAACAGACTGGGCCGTCAGACCAATCAGAGCAGAGGAGGCCAATCACAACAGACTGGGCCGTCTGACCAATCAAAGCAGAGTAGTCCAATCACAACAGACTGGGCCGTCTGACCAATCAGAGCAGAGTAGGCCAATCACAACAGACTGGGCCGTCAGACCAATCAGAGCAGAGGAGGCGAATCACAACAGTCTGGGCCGTCTGACCAATCAGAGCAGAGTAGACCAATCACAACAAACTGGGCCATCTGACCAATCAGAGCAGAGTAGGCCAATCAGAACAGACTGGGCCACCTGACCAATCAGAGCAGAGTAGACCAATCACAAAAGACTGGGCCATTTGCCAATCAGAGCAGAGGAGCCCAATCACAACAGACTGGGCCGTCTGACCAATCAAAGCAGAGTATAGGCCAATCACAACAGACTGGGTCATCTGACCAATCAGAGAAGAGTAGACCAATCACAACAGACTGGGTCATCTGACCAATCAGAGCAGAGGAGGTCAATCACAACAGACTGGGCTGTCTGAGCAATCAATCAGAGCAGAGTAGGCCAATCACAACAGACTGGGCCGTCTGACCTATCAGAGCAGAGGAGGCCAATCACAACAGACTGGGCTGTCTGAGTAATCAATCAGAGCAGAGTGGGCTAATCACAACAGACTGGGCCGTCTGCCAATCAGAGCAGAGGAGGCCAATCACAACAGACTGGGCCGTCTGACCAATCAAAGCAGAGTAGGCCAATCACAACAGACTGGGTCATCTGACCAATCAGAGAAGAGTAGACCAATCACAACAGACTGGGCCCTTTGACCAATCAAAACAGAGTAGACCAATCACAACATACTGAGCCGTCTGACCAATCAAAACAGAGTAGGCCAATCACAACGGACTGGGCCCATTAACCAATCAAAACAGAGCAGTTGACCAATCACAACAAACTGGGCCGTCTGACCAATCGAAGCAGAGTAGGCCAATCACAACAGACTGGGCCGTCTGACCAATCAGATCAGAGGAGGCCAATCACAACAGACTGGGCCGTCAGACCAATCAGAGCAGAGGAGGCCAATCACAACAGACTGGGCCGTCTGACCAATCAGAGCAGACCAATCACAACAGACAGGGTCTTCTGACCAATCAGAGCAGAGTAGACCAATCACAACAGACTGGGCCGTCTGACCAATCAGAGCAGAGGAGGCCAATCACAACAGACTGGGCCGTCTGACCAATCGAAGCAGAGTAGGCCAATCACAACAGACTGGGCCGTCTGACCAATCAGAGCAGAGGAGGCCAATCACAACAGACTGGGCCGTCAGACCAATCAGAGCAGAGGAGGCCAATCACAACAGACTGGGCCGTCTGACCAATCAAAGCAGAGTAGGCCAATCACAACAGACTGGGCCGCCTGACCAATCAGAGCAGAGTAGGCCAATCACAACAAAGTGGGCCATCTGACCAATCAGAGCAGAGTAGGCCAATCAGAACAGACTGGGCCACCTGAGCAATCAGAGCAGAGTAGACCAATCACACCAGACTGGGCCATCTGCCAATCAGAGCAGAGGAGGCCAGTCACAACAGACTGGGCCGTCTGACCAATCAAAGCAGAGTATAGGGGTGGTGATGGCGCAGTGGATAAGACACATGCCTTTGGTGTGAGAGACCCGGGTTCGAATCCACTGTGAGACACCAATGTGTAGCAGCAAGACCCCTAGTTGCTCCAGCGGCGTGCGACCAATCAGAGAAGAGTAGACCAATCACAACAGACTGGGCCGTCTGACCAATCAGAGCAGAGTGGGCCAATCACAACAGACTGGTGCTGCGTCCCAATTCGCCTACTTATACTACGCCCTAAAAGTATGTACTCTTTTTGTGAAGAAAAAGTACATACTTTTGAGTGTGTAGCAAAAGAGTAGGCAAGCTTTGGGACATACTACTTCGTCATCTTTAACGGACAGATCTGTCGCGTGCATCCTATCACGGATAGTATGCGAATTGGGACGCAGTATGGGTCATCAGGAGCACGTTCAAGTTCAAAACGGTGCTGCAACGTTTTGCTACGGTTTCCGGGTTGAACGTCATGTTTCCTGGAAACGGCGTGTACCGGTGTGCAACGGGTTTTCTCTTGTTTGGTGGGTGTGTCAGAACTGCAGTCCAATCAGCAGCAACATGTATATAAAGCATGCGGTATTAAAGTGAACTCACACAATGGGTTCAAGCAAAGTAATTTACAAATGTGTTCGATGTAGCTCGGTATACGCAACAACTCTGAGGATATTAGAAGACATGTTTGTCGTAAGTTTTATTGTAAAAATATAGGATTATCAACATAATTATGTAGTTGTTTATATTTTTAGCTCCATTGCAAGTGTATGACATTTGGTATAAGGGCTGCCAACTCTCACGCATTCAGCGTGAGACTCACGCAATTGAGCCAATTCTCACGCTCTCACGCCACACCCCCGATTTCTCACGCTGAAGTGTCAACCCGGTCGGTCAAATGCCTGAAAGATAAGTTTATCTATAGATCTACCAGTAGATCCATTCGTGATCGACTAGTTTTACCGCAAACTAGTTGAAATATCCTGTAATCTAGAGCGAGCGTGCATGCGAGACAGATGTGTTGAGCTCCTAACGGCGCGGTCTTAACCGCGCACGCGCAGTATGGCAGAGAGGTAAGCGAGCGAAAGAGCTTGCGTGTTGACAAAAGTTGGCAGCTCTGACAATGGTAATTGAGTGCTTTTCCTAAAAATGATAAAGAAAATACAGGGTATTAAAACAGTATGAACTACAAAAAAAGTCAGTATATGAGGCTAAATAGATGTGTTTTAGTCTGATGTGGGTGCTTCCATTTCAGTTTCAGCAATCCCTTCACTCGATTGGGATGTTCTCTAGCAGTAACTGTAACATCGGGCTTATTTTGTAGTATTAAACACATATTTATACCGACTTCATCAGGCTCCGAAAATTCTTTACAAAGAACACAAAGAATGGCCTACTCAGCTACCATAGTTGCAACTCTTGCGTCATCAAAACAGTGTGTTCAACGCATCACCGTTTCTGTTTAAAAAACGTTGTGCAATGTTTTTGTCGGGGCTGAACACAGCTCTGACCAATCTGAGCAGAGCAGGCCAATCACAACAGACTGGGCCGTCTGACCAATCAATCAGAGCAGAGTGGGCTTGCAGAAAGGAGAGGGTTAGAGACAGGGCCGTAGCTAGAGGATTCGGGGCCCCCTGAAAAAATATTGATGTGGGCCCCCACCACCCTCCACCAATATCATATACTGTACAATAGATGAACATGGAGGCCCACATAACAGAAGATGGTGATGTTGTTGTAAAACCTTTATTTTAAAAGTTAAATGTTTATATAAAAATTACAACTAATAAAAACTAACAAAAAAGCAAGAAATTGTTAAATAATAATAAAACCAATTTTTAAAAAGTAATAATTTTTTCCCCATCAGTCTGTTATAATTCATAAATCAAAAAGTAAACATTTAAAAAATTGACAAGAATGCAGTCTAATTAAAAAAATAAAAGCATCCATTGTCTTTTTTTTTAATAAAGATAATATGGAACTGGTAATATTATTAAATAAAGCGAATACATTTATTCATCCAAGTGCAGTGTGTTGTATTCATGTTTTCTCGATGTTTTAAATATCATCAGCCGGCAGGTCAGATGCATAATGCAATGCGTCGTGACTCGTGTAATTTTTTTTTAAACTCTAGTTACAATACTGTAAAAAGACCGGAATTTAGACCACGTAATCATTCGGTCGATTGCGGCGCGCACCGATAATAAAAAATGACTGTACACGGCAGACTGTAGACGGAAGTTTTCTAATTCCCAGCGAAATAACAATATATAACCGGTCTTTAAGAACGTCTTGATCGACTGGGATACAACCACTCTCCTTGCCTCCCTCTCCGTCTTTTCCTGGCATTTCTGGTTCCCTGATTTGTTTTCTTTTCCCCGACATTTTTCAGTCAGTCAGTCTCCTGCTCTTCCACCAAGTTCATCATTAACTTCAGGCTGCCGCCTCAACTCTAATTGGTTCTGTTCACGAGCTGGGGCGGGACTTACAATTTTATTGGGTCCATCTGATGTTTGTCACTGACTCTGACTGAATAATTAATAAATACTTTAGGTCGGACTAAACCATTTTTATGGAGGTAAGAGAAGCAGATATTTGGAAAAATATTTACCCAAATTGCACGTTTTTGTGGTTTTCATTTAAATCTCAAGCATACAACTAATATAAATATTAGAATTATTCATACTACAGGGGCCTAAATAGTATAACTGCTGGATTTTGTGGGGCCCCCTGGGCAGCGGGGGCCCCTATAATTGTCACCACCTTTCACCCCACTAGCGACGGCCCTGGTTAGAGAGACTGATTCTTTGTCAAAAGAGGTGATGTGCAATGTATATGATGAGAAAATTAAAGTGTTTTTTTTACCTTGGATGCATGTAAAGGATAATAGGGGCACTTTAAAGTTCACTTTTGCTATATGAATACTGATTATAAATTAAACTTCCACTTTATCGCACATCCTAAATTAAAAATGTTACATTACTTTTTCTGGGGGTCTCTTAGGCCTCAGCTATATATATATATATATATATATATATATATATATATAAATATATATATATATATATATATATTACCCCAAACTGAAGCAACGTTGCTATTTTTGATAATGTTGCATTTTAGAAAAGTATATAGGCCTAACCTTTTGGCATTTAACGGAGGGTTACATTTCAACAATATCTTTCAAATGGGCTTTAAGTCAAAAGAACATTTTTAAAGGTGAATTTGAAAGGCCAGATTTGCAATTGTTATTATTATTTTTAGACACAAATCATCAGGGTCTTCAAGATCCCAAACATAAATACAATTAAGCCCATTTTAAGAGAACTTGAGGCCTACTGTAAGTTGACGTTGTACTTTAAAGCAGTGGATTATTATTAACACCGGTTCTTGGAACCATGGTGGTCATACCAATGATAGAAGTGAGGTCATCGTTTCTCAAGTTGACGATCTGTACTTTCCGTAACAAACTAATTCATGGGTGTTTTCCAAGAGCTTTACCAAATTAAGCCACAAACAGTAAAGGATTTGATATATATTAAGGATTTTAAGTTAAGGTTAGGTAACACAAGTTTGGTTTGGTTTTTATAATGTCATTTGCTGTTAAATATTATAGTTATACATCCTATTACAAAAATACATCTATTCATTATCCAATAACACAATAACAATAATACATACAAGCAAACATGAAACAACGCCACACTCAAAAAACATATTTCATTGGTAGTCACATGACTTCCACTGGCATATTCTTTGAAATGGCAAAGTTACAAGTTGTTTTTCCATATTACGATTCTAATAAAGACAACTAAGAGGTGTTACCTTATTTAAGAAGAAACATTGATGATTTGTTCATGTTGATGTGATGTGCTGCATAAATATAACTCGGGCTTCGCTGTTGTGAGTCTCTGGTAGGAGGGATCAAACTCGTTTCCGGCAAGAGACAAACCACAAACGCACCTCATTTCCTGACAGCTTTAGCAAGATCGACACCACTTGGTGTTTCTTCACTGGTTGGCCTCATCTGACATCTCGGTTTCTAGAACTGTGATCGGGCCTTAAATTGACAACAGTACCACCCCCACCCCCCGTGCATATTATGAAGTACAAGAATAGTGTATTTATAACAGTATGAGAGCGAAAGAGAAGGGGGGGGGGTTTGCTGAAGCTGCTGGGGTTGTTGCTTTCTTTACGTGGGAAGACTGAAACTGTGGTTTCCTCTTTCTCTGCTAGTGAGCGTCGGGTTTGTTATTTCCGCCTGCAGAGAAAAACTGAGTAGTTTTTCTTCCGTTTGGCCTGATACAACCCAGTGGCTTATGAAACTTTCATTTAAACTATGTTGATCAGAAAGTATGTGCACCTGATAGTGTTGACAGCAGTTTATTGTGAATGTGCATTATTCTACTGCTCATCTCTGCAATACTAATACATATTCAAAATATACATGAATTATACAGCCAACATCATTCAATACATAAACACTGAAACAGTTTCATCTCGATTCTGGTGACTTAGGACTTTTCTATGTACTTTTCTAGGTCTAGGACCCTGATCTTAGAAGGGCTGAGGAATTAATATCCCATCAATGAGCCTTGTTTTATAGGTTTAGACAGACAAATAATATTCCTGTCTGCCAAAAAACTAATGAAATGCATTATTCTCATTGTAGGTATGGTGTAGTTAAAATCTATTGTAGCATGGTCAATAAAATGGATCTTTATAGTGTAACAATTTAAGCTACATTCTTTTAATTAATTCATACTAATAATCATTCATACTTTTCAGAGAGTTATTGGATCATAGTGATATATCTCCTTTAAAAGCATTCTGTTAATTAAACAAATTTCAATGTGTGCGTCCTTATGCTCTCTTCTCTTCTAAACTTGGCTAGGAATGAAAGTGAACTGACAAACAGGTGCGATGCAGGTGTGTGATGAACAGAAACGTATTGTGCATGAGTTTGTACTATGAAAGAAAGCACTATTGTTATATACAGATCAAAGAATCATCCTTTGAATCAGGTGGTGATGGTCAGGTATTCAGTAATGCCAATCAAAAAGGAAGATAACCAAATCAGTATGGCTTTGACATATTTCATATGCGAGACTGTACAGAGAGCGTACCTTGCATGATGTAAATAGTAAAGCTGTGTCTTTCAACATTTCATTTTGCAAAGCCACAGAAGTTCTTCCACAAAAAGTCATTTTAAATTTGAATTAAGCTGCATATTTCTTGGAAATTTAGTTTGAAACCTGACTTTTAAAGCGGGTCCTGCACCTGTCTAAACTTCACCTTTGTTCAGTAAAACAACTTGTTTATCAGCTGTGGCAAATAGTTATTTTGAACTGAGAAGGATTTCGGTGGGATTGTGTGCTGTAGTTTCATTCTGTAGAGACAAGAATAATTTCAGCAGTGTTGGTATTGTTAACTAAAACTTTTCTTTTTTTTTATCGTTAGCAGAAATAAAATGAAATATTAGATAAAAACAGACTAAACTTAACCAAATTAGAAATGTTGTCTTGGCAACTAACTGACATAAAAATAAATCTAAATAAGAATATAAAAAATAAAATAAAAATAAACCAATGAAAACTAAAAATATAAAAAATATTAATAAATAGTATACATTTATAAGTAAAATAAGTAAATGAACGGCTACTACCATCTAACTTACCAAGTTATGACAGGACGGTTCGCAGGTTTTTTGTTCCAAGTTCCACCGTAATAAACCAGGACTGATAGAATCCTTCTTGGTGGGTCCTGCAGTAATTCAGCACATATTCATTTGAAGGTAAAATAACATCTGTTGATATTTTCATTTGTTTTAATTATTAAAGCGTTAGTTCACCCAAAAATGAAAATTCTGTCATCATTTACTCATGTCGTTCCAAACCCTTAAGACTTTCTTTCATCTTCAGAACACAAATGAAGATTTCTGTCCTTCCATTGACAGCTACTCAACTACCATGTTGATGCTTCAAAAAGTTCATAAAGAGATCGTAAAACTAATTCATATGAATTGAGCGGTTTAGTCCAAATGTTCTGAAGAGACTCGATCGCTTTATAAGATGAACAGATTGAATTTAGTCTTTTATTCACATCTAAACATTGATCAGAGAACATAAACATTAGCTGCTTGATGCGCGAGAACAAACCATTTTGTTCATATATGGATTTTACAATCTCTTTATTAACTTTTTGAAGTGTCAGTTGCGTGGACTGTCAATGGAGGGATAGAAATCGCTCAGATTTCATTATAAAGATCTTCATTTGTGTTCCAAAGATGAACGAAAGTCTTACGGGTTTGGAACAACATGAGGCTGAGTAATTAATGACAGAATTTTCCTTTTTGGGTAAACTACCCCTTTAACAATACTGTAAGCGAGTTTCTCTCACCTGTAATGTAGCTAACCACCACACCTACTAGCATGACTGCACTAGTTGACAGGGCTCCGAAGTACAGGTATGATATTGAATAGATATTTTGAAAGCTGCATGAATTTAGTTGGAAAAAGAAAACTTAACTCTTGTGCTATATTTCACAAGTAATTCACGTCACAGAGCAGTGAAATACTATGCAATTATGGTTCATATAAAATGTGAAATAAATTCTAGAATCTTACCCATAATCCCGGGGGACTGATGATAACAAGATAGATGATTTAGTGACTGCTGTGGTGCTGTTGAGCGTTGCATTAGTTGCTAGACAGTGATCAGCACTAGTGGGTAAAACACCCATTATTTGTGGTGTAGGAGGATAAATTGTGCTTCCAACAGCGAGCCATAGAGACAGACAAAAACCCACAGCCACACCTGAGAAAACCCCCTATAGTGTGAGAAATAAATATTACATGGCTAGTGGCTACTCATCGAGTGGAGGGATAGAATAATATATGGTGTACACAACAGTGATGTTTATGGAGCCTTACCGGTTTATTTGTGGCTGGAACAAACATGCCCAGCACAAACGCTCCCAGAAGTGGACCATTCACTACACCCATGACTGTGAACGAACCCTGAGGTTATTAGAGTTAAAAGACAGCTGGTTAGAGCACAGACACATAGACTGAAATACATCCTGATTGAAATCAGTTATTCCAGTATAGTTCACACCTGAAGGACTCCCCAGTCCAGCAGGGAGGAGAGCGCAGCCATTGTAATGCAGCCAAGCCCGTACAACAGAGCTGTTTTACACATGTAAACAAACAATAATAACATTAGTCGACACTGTAGTTATATTTCTAAACATTATCATGTTGATTCCATCAGATATTTGCAGAATCACATCATGGTTTGTTAGCTAAATAAGTGCTATATAAAAATCTCACCAATAATCTCATTTTAATGCATTACATATCCAGCATTACATTTAATTAAGATAGAATTAAATGTAAATGTATTTTTATGACAATTAAGAATATTTTTTTTATTAAAGTCAGCATATATTAAAGGCAGCAAATTTAAAATACAAACATTATATAGTTATATATTTATAGTTAATTCATTTGATAATAATTTATATAATATAACATTAAATATATAATATTATATTTATGTAAATATAATATAGCATTATGAAATATATTCAAATAATCTTTTTCCCTTCATTTCAAATAAATACATATCAGCATATTTAATAGGCAGCAAACAAATACAAATTTTATATAATCATGTTATATAACATTACATTTATTCTATATATATATATATATATATATATATAATGAATATATATACACTACCGTTCAAAAGTTTGGGGTCGGTACGATTTTAAATACTTTTAAAAGAATTCTCTTCTGCTAACCATGGCTGCGCTTATTTGATTAAAAATACAACAAAAATCAGTCTTAAATATTATTCCAGTGTAAATCAGCTGTTTTCTGTGTGAATATATAGTAAAGTGTAATTTATTCCTGTGATCAAAGCTGAATTTTCAGCATCACCAGTGTCAGTGTCTTCAGTGTCAAATGATCTTTCACAAATCAGTATAATATGAGGATTTGATGCTCAAGAAACATTTATTATTATTATCAATGTTGAAACAGTTGTTGGTCTGTCAGTTGTACAGTTTTTTTTTTTTTTAGGATTCTTTGATGAATAGGAAGTTCAAAAGACTTTTGTAACATTATAAATGTCTTTACTGTCACTTACGATCAAATTAATTATTCCTTGATAAATAAAAGTATTGATTTCTTTCCTCCAAAAAATAAAAATAAAATTCTCACTGACCCCAAACTTTTGAATGGTAGTATATATATATATATAATAAGTATATATTATATAACATTACATTTATTATATATATATATTCATTATATATATATATATATATATCCGACTCTAGTTTTACTTGCACCACAGGAAAGAATAAGAAGTGGCTTTTGACCGTACATAATGATTTGGAGAGCAAGAGCTGTTTTCTCTGTGAAACAGTGATTAGCCACGGCTTCATTACATCCTCCATAGTAACAGCTGCCATTGCGTTAATGCTGGTAGAGACAGTACTGTGGAAAAAGAAGCAGGTGGTTTATCCACATTTGTACGTATCAGTAATCAACACCTCACTGAAGATAGTTTCAACCACCTTAAAGTTCCACTGTAGGCACAGGCTAGAAAAAGACCCGGGAAGCCTGGATGATTCCGGAAAATGTCCAAAACCAAGTACGGCATGTACTGTGATAATAAAGATAAAGACAGATTTTTGGTTTAAAATTGAATAGTGATTAGTAGGATACAGTAGGTACAGTTAATTCTGTTCATGCATGTATTCACTTACCTGGTCAGGTGCAGATATTCTGCCAGTCTTCAGCGGGTCACAGTTGGAGTATAAAGCAAACATCACAATGCCACAGGTGGCTGCACTGCTCACAATCAGACACAGACCCACCTGATTTACCAGCAGCGCCCTGCAGAACAAGACTGACACTCAGTGGATCTCTATCTCAGTGAGCAGTGGCAGAAAATACTGCATGTGAGTCACTCAACAATCATTATTAGGAGAAATTGAATGCCAAACCAAACTAAATTTAGTAGACTGAACTGAAAAAAGTTATTTTAGACAGATTTGACTGATTTATTCTCTCACAGTTGGGCTTGTTTCTCAGTCCTGCATGATATGTAACGCTGTACTTGGGCCTGATTGGCTCCATACATGGATAACCAGACCATTGTGCCGCCCACTGTGAAACTCCAGAACGAGTACCGCCTCTGAGGGTCTATGGCAAAACTGTAACACAGAGAGGGAATGAGCAATACAACACTAAATAAACATTTAATTCATTTGAGAATTGAACAGATTTCAAAACATTTACTGTTCGTACTCATTAAAATTGATGCGGGATCCATTGTTGGCGATCTCTAAAACTCTGGCAGGCCCTCCTGCCAATACGGTGCCCTGAATGAAGACTGCAATGAACCCAGAGAGCATGACTACAATCTGAAAAACATCTGTCCAGATTACAGCCTTTATACCACCCTGCAGGAAAACGGAAACACGTTACGTTCACAAACAAACATTTACACACTCATGCAACTGTTTTACTAATTAATCATTCAAATACATACACTCAAATCATATACAAATATTCAGGCCAAAAGTGATATCCAGACTAGGGAAGTTGACATCTTCCCCCTTTAAAACAAATATCCCCTCCGGACATCACTTTTGGTGACTACAGTTATACACAATTTATGAGAAATAGGATTTGGTCACATTAAAAGGGTCAAAATAGTCCACCAATAAAGCAAAGACTGTTTTGGACACCAGTCCATTTGTATTATTCAAATCAGGCAAGATTTCACAACACTGGCCTACCACTGTTGTGTAAAATGTGCAGATGAGTCCAGTTGAGAAAAGAGACGCCCACATATTTAGGCCTGTGGCTTGATTCAGAAAAGAAGAAAAGCTTGATAAGAATAAGGGCAAAATCAAACACCCAGTCATATATATGGGATCCACTGATGGATTTGTAATGACTCACATATGGACACATGAAGCTAAGAAATCAGTTTATTTCTCTTACCCTGATTCAAGATGACTGCAGGAGCAAAGATCACTATTCCAGTGTAGAGAAGCTACAGGAAGAACAACACAATATCAGCATTATGTATCCTTTAGACACAAATCTAAAACTAAAATAAACACTTTATTATTATTTCTAATACATATTTTGTGCAAACTAAATATTGGAATTAAAAGTATACAGATACGATTCAAGGCTTCATCGATCAGCATTCCACATTTTAATTTCAGGGTATTGCTTTAATAGTATTAAAAATAGTATTATATATTTTTTATGATTATATGAATTGCTCTTACTGTGGCTACAATGAACTGCAAACTTCCCAAGAGCTGCATCCCTCTTCCAAACCTCATTCCTAAATACTGACAAGTAAATTTCACACACACACACACACATGAAAAAAACAGTGTAGTCCAAAAGTATGTAAATGCTTCTAGGGGAAAGCATTTTGCTTTTCTAGATTTTGCTTCTACTAAATACAGAAAATTAAAAGCATCAAAACTGAAATTGGGAAAATGCCTTTTAATTAGAAAAAAAGTTAAATAGAAGGAATTTCACTAGTGGCCTAAAATCTTTGCATGTGTCTTTTTATCACATACTACAGAGAAATGACTCGTCCTCACATTCTTTGTGAAATCCATGAAATTCAATGCGACTCATGGTATGCAATTAATATATATATAGAGAGAGTGTGCATATATATAATCATATTGCAAAACTAAAGAGATAAATGGACAAAAACCCAAACCTGATGTGCGCTGGTGATTTTGAGACGATAAAACACAGGAACGAACACAACTGCAGTAATGAGGGAGTTGAGGGCTTGTCCCAGGCACATATAGAGAAACTTAAAGCCATATAAATATGCCTCAGATGGCACACCGAGCACTTGGACAGCTGACATAAAGCTGGCACAGAGCGACAGTCCAACCGGCACAGCAGAGAAACCCCTGCCCCCTGTGAAGAAGTTGTCCACATTCGAGCGACCCTGGGTGTTTCTCAGAGACTGGAATAGCCCGATGGCCACCGAAACCCCCAGCATAGCAGCAAATACCACATAGTCCACCAAACAGAAGCCCAAGTTGTCTGAGTCCAAAGCCATAGTGCTCTCTGTTTAGACTCTGCCAGAGCCTAAATGAGTAGAGTCCTTCTCTTCAAGAGACTGTCAGCTGTAACAACAAACTCAGAAATCACAATGCATTCTTAATCGACTCCCTGTTATGTTCTCTTGACTTTCAGAGGTTAGGGCTCATGCAGTGCAAAGTGTCATTTAAGGTAAAAGCAGCTTGAGTTTTTATTTTTTACACACTATTTAAATATTTGAAAAACAACTTACCTTTGACCAAAACAATGCAAAATGAGTTTATGAGTGTATGAAAAAAGACCAAATTCCACAGGCCAGCATGTACAGTAATCAACTCATACAGGATAGAAAAAAGTATTGGTTTAAAGATATGTTCACTATCACTGACCAGTGTGGAAAGTGAATGAGCATTCTTTCAAATAGAGGTGGATTTATTTGTCTGGGCTGATAACTTGGATAATCGAAGGCAGTCTGATGGGAGGGGAATTAGGAATTAATGTACCGGTAATATGTGGAGGGAGGAGTATGTTGTGATTGACAGCAGAGTCATTTGACACTACTGATTCTTTCCTTAATTTTTGTTTAAATCTTAAAACATTTTCTTTAGTCATGATTTAATATTTTGATTACTCTGACAGATTTAATAAGCACTGAACAAAAAGAAACAAAATGTACCTGTTGCTTTTTTGCTTTGTTGGATTCCATCACATTCTTTGTCATACTGTACCATGTAAATACAATGATGTATGGGAATATTAAACATGTTAAGCAAATTACCATAATGTGGTATTGCTTGTAAAGATGCACAGTGTTGTTTAGCAGGATTAAGAAACATCTATTCTGAATGAGTTCTTTTCCTTTCTTGTTTTTTATAGAAGTCTAAGATCACATTGAAAATCTGGTATTTTCCCTTGGAAAATAAACGGAAAGTTTTATATAAAAACCAGGGCTGTCAAATGATTAATCACGATTAATCACATCCAAAATAAAAGTTTTTTTTTACATAATATATGTGGGTGCACTGTGTATAATTATTTTGTATATATATAAATACACACACATGCATGTATATTTAAGAAAAAAATATTATTTATATATAAAATATTTATATTTACATATAATATAAATTATATATAAATCTATATACAGTATATACATGAAAATATTTCTTAAATATATACAAGCATGTGTGTGTATTTATATATATAAAATAATTATACACAGTGCACCCACATATATTATGTAAAAAAAACTTTTATTTTGGATGTGATTAATCACGATTAATCATATGACAGCCCTAATAAAAACCCAACATGAAATAGGAATAATGAAGAAATATTTTAGATTTTGAACTGGTCACTAATCAATTATATGTAAAACTGACCATGTAAACTCCTTTGTACAAAAGGTCAAATATCCTAGATTCCACTGAAACACAAGATGCTGTTTTATTTTCAAATCATGCTGAATAACAAGTCCTGAATCAATGAAATACAAAAATCCAGAAATTCAAATAAAGCTTGTTATAGCCCTACTCATTATAACTAGGATTTATTTCTTAAATTAAAAGGCAATTGTATTGTTCATAATAAAAAATATCTATAAAATAATTCACATCAAATTAGAATGGAAAGTAGGCTAGCCTGCGCAAACAAAGCAATGATTTGATATAAAACCGAAGACTTTCTCATGACTTTGTTTTGGACCCCACTGTTTATCTCTGTTTACTGTTTACACTGCAATTAGACTACTAACAGAGTGACTCTGGATGTTGTCGTGTAGTATCACACGTATTGCGATTTTTCTGTACCTGTATACATTCCGGCAAATCACTGGCAGTATGAATGAAGCAAAATCAAACGAACCCGGGTCAAATCCCGGGTCACTTTATCCGTGTATTTTCTGGAATCTCTGTGTGAAAGGGGCTTATGTGTTCGCTGTTTACACTTACAGTAAGCGTGTAGTAGACTGACCGTCGAGCCTCCAGAGGGCGCTAAATAAACCGCTTCAACTGTGGCGCAGCGGCTTGAGAAGAAGAGCGAACATCATCCCTGTGCAGGAAAAGGTTGGTGCTGTTACATTATATATTCGATTCAGTGCCTGAAAATGACTTCGACTAATAAAATGAGATGTTTTAAACGCCCCCGTCTAAATCTACTTTCATTATTCAGCTGACAGTATCTGATACAAGCTTGTACATGAATACTATCACTCTCTGAAACCAGAGTGATTAGCAAAGATGCTAACGAGAAGGTTTCTGAAAAGAAAAAGTAACTGTTACAGTTAAAATGTTTACTAAAGTTCCAGAATCTTCCCTTTGCGACACTCTATTTTAGGAAATGAGAGAATTAAATCTTCTAGCCACGAGACTTGTCAGATGATACGTGTGCTGTCAGAACACAGACAAAATAAAAACAGGAGCAGGTGTAAAATTTATGATAAAGTTAATGATATATATATATATATATATACTCACACACATAGTGCTGCTAAATGTACATCATAATATATATAAAATAAATCATAATATATATCGTAATAATTATAATATATATATATATATATATATATATATATATATATATATATCGCAAACAACATTAGAATAAAGTATATAAGGTAATTAGGAAAAAGTGGATACATATTTTACCGTTTACCTTGTTAATCTCCTTCTCTTTTGGAAGTGCTGTAAACAAAATATTTAGAGTTTAACACTGCCTAGTTAATACCAGATTATGTTAAAGGGGTAGTTCACCCAAAAATTAAAATTGTGTAATCATTTACTTACCCTCAAGTTGTTCCAAATCTGTATGAGTTTCTTTGTTATGTTGAAGAAAAAAAAAAGATTAGAAGAATTTTGGTAACCAGACAGTTGACGGTAACCATTGACTTTCATAGTAGGAACAAATAAATACTATAGAAGTAAATAGCTACCGAAAAAGGGCCTTAAAAAATCCCTTATTTTTAATTTTATTTTATTGAGGTATGTACTTTACTGTGAAATGTATGAGATTCACAAAACTGAATAGAGAGCCCAATAACAACTGGTCCTAAATAAATACTATGATTTAGCCTCAGGTCATGATTGCCATGTGTTTAGTTTTTAATCTTTCTCTCATTAGTATGTTTATACACTACACATTAATGCCCTTTGTGATCTCAGCACATACAGTATTCTTCCACTTTTAACTGGTCATCATCTCTACCTTATCTCCGCAGGGAAGTCCCAGGAATGCCGAAGAAATTCCAGGGTGAGAATTCCAAATCGGCCACAGCGAGGGCCAGGAAGGCTGAGGCCAAAGCAGTCGCTGATGCACAGAAACAGAAGGATCTGGAGGATGCGCTCTGGCAAGATAACGACAAACATGTCATGAAGAAAGAGCAGAGGAAGGTAGGACTGTTTTTTTTTTTTTTTTGGTTTAACAACTTGTGTCCTTCAAAGCAGGAAACGCAGGGTTCCCACGGGTCCTTGAAATCCTTGAAAGTTTGTGAATCAAAAAAAAAAAAAACAGTCAAGGCACTGGAAAGTTTTTGAAAATAAACATGCATAGGTCCTTGAAAGTGCTTGAATTTATTTTGTGCAAGAAGTTTTCTCGAAAAAATTCCATATTCCCTCCGGTCCGCTAATGTGTTATTTCGCCAACACTTCGTGGCCTATGCATACTCGCTTGCTTTATTTATGTTAGTTACGCGCATTTACGCGTTACGTTAAGTGTTTCCCACGTGAGGTACTTTGTGTTGTACGTTGCCATGATGTTCACGTGCGCAAAACTGTAACAATGTATCTTACAAGGTAACACGATGTAACCTTGCTCTCACTTGAAATGTGTCCCCACATTAAGTCCTTGAATTTAAGCGTATTGGACCTGGAAAGTCCTTGAAAGGTCCTTGAATTTGAAGTTAACCAAGGTGTGGGAACCCTGGAAATGTGATCTGCTTTGGGATTGTTTGAAATGTACCATTACTGTGATTAGATTTTTGTCACATCCACACCTAATTGGAAGCACATTCTATGAAATGCGTGCATACAGACAGAGTGTAGAATAAACACAAGGTGGCAGTAAAGATCTTCCTCTCTAAAGACTGTTCCTCCAATCCACTTAAAGGGAAAGTTCACCCAAAAATTCTAAATACTATTATTACCCACCCTCATGTCGTTGCAAACCTGTAAGACTTTCGTTCATCTTCGGAACACAAATGAAGATCTTGTTGATGAAATCGGAGCTATTTCTGTCCCTTCAGCTACGCAACTACCACTTCGACGCTTCAAAAAGTTCAGAAAGAGATCATAAAACATCATTGGTTCTCGCACGTCAAGCAAACATGCTTAAGCGTTTACCACAACTGATGTGTGCGTTGATGAATGTTTAAATGTGAATAAAAGCCTAAATTCAATCTGTTGTTAATCATATAAAGCGATCGAGTCTCTTCAGAAAATTTTATACTAAACCGCTCGAATCATAAGGATTAGTTTTACAATATCTTTATTAACTTTTTGAAGAGTCAAACTAGTTGCTTAGCTGTCAATGGAGGGACAGAAAGCTCTCAGATTTCATCAAAAAGATAAATGATGAATTTGTGTTCCGAAGATAAACAAAAGTCTTATGGGTTTGGAACAACATGAGGGTGAGTAAATAATGACAGAATTTTCATTTTTGGGAGAACTAACCCTTACCCTTTAAATTGTTTGGCAGTGAAATAGTTTGCCTTAATCAATGCAGTCAGTAGTACCCGGATAGAGATTGCTATCCATTAGAAGCCACAGGAAAATGATGTCACAACGATAGTTGGCTGATGGCACCATACAATTACGAACATCTTAAACTGTGACATCAAAGGCAGCAGATAGGGAAAAATATTAGTCCATTTCACACTTTTGAATTCTTCAGAATGAAAATAGTCACTGAAAATATTTATTATTTGGCATTTATACACTACCATACGAAAGTTTGAGGTCGGTAAGATTTCTTAAAATATTGATTAAAATACAGTGAAAACTGTAATATTATGAAATATTATTACAATTTAAAACATTTTAAAATATATTTAAAAAAAATCCTGTGATGGCAAAGCTGAATATTTAGCATCATTACTCCAGTCTTCAGTTTCACATGATCCTTCAGAAATCATTTTAATATGATGATTTGGTGCTTAAGAAACATTTCAGTTGTGCTGCTACTTAATATTTCTGTAGAAACCGTGATAAAGAAAATCCAAAGGATTTAAAAATATCTTTTTTTGTTACATTATAAATGTCATTACTGTCACTTAATAAAAATATTAATTCAACAGCAAAATTGACCGAAAAATTTTGATAGGTAGTGAATGAAAAAAAACCCCGACACCGTCAAGATGCTTTTTGCTCATATAATGGTCCAGTATAGTTATAGCATCTACCAGCTGGAGCGAACTGGATGCTAACCACCCAAACGTTGGCCCCTTTGGTCCTAATTGTCTTTATGATATTGAAATGTTTTTGAGTTCTGTAATGAATGTACAGAAAATTGATTCCCACCGTGCCCATGTTATGTTGTCTAACATTCCCGTCATTGGCTGCTAATCTTGTATCTAAATGACACAGCTGTCTTTCTCGCTAAAGCTGCAGACATATGAGTCTGAGTAGCACACAATAGATTAATACATTGCAAGTCAGGTTTAGGGTTGCTCAGGAAATGAGGTCCCCACGAATAAAATGAAAGCTGAAGCCTACTGGGTTAAAGTAACACCATCACAGAAGCTCTGATATCCTCTATCAATTATGCCGCATATTGATGAGTGTTCGTTGTCAGTAATGGAGCATGATTTTGGATGTTGTGACTTATGATATGCATTGATTGTTTGGTTATTATGTCTCCAAAGCTATTTTTTATGCCATGTTAAGTGTCAGCAAACCAGATTGCAAGTGATCCACGTTAACACATGTAACAAAGGCTTATAGCAGGGGTGTAAAACTCAGTTCTTGGAGGGTCACAGCCTAAAGAGTTTAAAGTGTGTTTAGCGTTCACGTCCTCGTAGAACTCGTAATTACGCGTTTTCTGAGAGCTCCTACTTGTGACCACGTGACCACTGTACCACCTTACCGCTTCAGATTTATTTAGCATTGATAGTGTTGCCATAGAAACACATAATTCCCAATCCATGGACGCAAACAGCTTCAAGTAGAACGTCACGTGTTGTCATCATGAAATTACGGTACTTACGACATGGCATGAACGCAGCACAAGTTCCAACCCTGCTCCAACACACATACCGGTAGTTTTCAAATGAGCCTGAAGGACTTGATTAGCTGGATCAGGTGAATTTAATTAGGGTTGAAAGGCTGTTGTAACACATGCATAATCTTAAATCAGTATTTCACCCAAAAAATTTGGGTCAGTACGATGCAATGCAGCTTGCAAATGTGTTAAAGGGATAGTTCACCCAAAAAAGAAAATGTTCAGTCAGCATTTACTCACCTGTATGTTTTTCTCTTTTTCTGTGGAATACAAAAGGTGATATTTTGAAAAATGCCTTAGTTTTTTCTCCAATGTTGTTTTGGACCCCATTGATTTTCATTATATGGAAACAAACAGTTTAAATATCTTCAAGAATATCTGCAGAAAGAAAGAAAGCCATACAGGTTTGGAATGGCATGAAATTGAGTAAATAATGCCAGGATAATTTCATTTTTGGGTGAACTATCCCTTTAACACATTTGCAAGCTGCATTGCATCGTATTGACCCAGTTCTCAAATTAATTTGTTAAATATTTTTGGAAACAAGCTTATAGCAAAGTGCCATATAAATTTAAATCCCCTTTACCTATTTTGATATGTTTTTTGGGCTGATATAGATTAAATATTTTAATTATTAGAAGATATTTTGGTAGTCTAAATATTTGAAAAGCAGTCTTTGCAGGCTATCGGTGCCTTTTCTCCCTTCCTGGCTCTCTCCTGCCTCTATTTCAGACATTATTTAGCCAGTGTTGGCATATGTAGTGAGAGTCAGCAATACTGGCATGATGTGCCAGTCTACTTGGTAAGGCACTCTGGTGAGGAGCTCCTCACACCCTGTTCCTTTCCTCCTGTTTCCTCCCATCTCTGCCATCTGATCCCCGACGTCCTATCAGACCCATGCCGTGCTGTTATCCCACTGCAGCCATTCTGCTAATTATACCCCATGTCACTGGGACCGCTTTGTGTGTTCGGGAAAGCTCACCTGCACTGGAAACACACTGATTTATCCTTTACATATTCTAAAGATCAGCCACCGACTCGGACTCGGGTTTGGTGACTATAATTTATCACCAGTAGATATGTGAGAATGTCAAGAGAGAGGAGCGTATCTTGGTTCGCTCTTAAGCGCGGCCTTCCGTGCGTCTTATCTGTGTCATGCGAATGACATTTCAGCCTCTGCTCGACATCTGAAGGTGTCATCTCATTATGCGTATCTCCTTACTGTTGTGTCACCATTTCTGGGGATGTTATCAACAAGAAGGTGGCTGGGTGGTTAGGATGTGGACAGTTAAGACCATGTCGGAACCTAGTAACCATTACTTACTGCCGCGCTGACACAGAGTGACTCTGAGCGAGCAGGAGGCATCTCTAATTTCTTTACTCTGCTCTGCAGTTTACACTTACATTTGCTTAATGACCATCAGGCTGCCTTGATAACATCGGTCCTGTTGTAATTTAAAAGAGTGTGTGCGCGTGTGTGTGTGTGTATAGGATGATAAGGAGAAGAAGCGTTTGGAGGCTCTGGAAAGGAAGAGAGAAAAGCAAAGGCTTCTTGAGGAAGAAGATGCCAAGATAAAGGGTAAACTGACAAAAGAAGCCCCCAGTAAAGTGACTCGAGCTCAGATCGAGGAGAACCTACAAAAAGGGCAAAATGTTAAGGAAATCAAGGAAACCAAGGAAAAAGGTAAGGCCAAATCCAATCCAATAACTCTGCTCCAAAATGTACAGTGCTTCCTATGTAGGCAACATCTTAAACATCATGAAACCTCATAAGTGACTGATTTCCAGTGCTGTATATGGCGTGTGTCACACAAAAAGCCCTTTATACTGTGTGGGAGATTTGACACACATTGACTTCAGAGGAGTTTTACATTTGAATGTTGATAAGCCAAAACCATGACATTCTAATAAACATAAAACACACAAATTAGGTAAAATATAATTATTATTTTTTTTACATTTAATACCATGGGTTATTGTTTTACTGTTTTTTTGTCACACTATATTATTCCAATCGTCCATGAAGGAAACCCTGACAAGTTAAAGTCACAATGAAACTGAAGTTGCAACTGATCTTTTCTTCTGTATCGTGTCATGCATCGGATTGTGGAAAAAGAAACAAAATGTAGAGCAGGGACCCATTGGTTGATGATTGGATGGAGGCAGATCTGAATACGAGCTTGCGGTTGATTATAAGAAAGGGGCGGGGTTTAAGCGGACTACAGTAAATGATTGGAGAAGTCTGACATGGGTGAATTGTTCACATTAAGATCAATAACATTACATTAGTAAAATAAATAGGGTGTATTATCATTTTATGCTGACATTCAACCCTATTTATAGTCACACAACAAAATTTGATTGCTTGTCAAAATTCCTACCGAGACTGTTCACACCGAGCCTCTGAGCAAGGTGTGCACACCTGAATGACAGCCACATGTTGCACTTATTTTTGTGTCTCTATATTGTTGAATTGTTTTGAATGTACTTTTTCTGATCGTTTAGTCTAATGTGTCCTTTCAAATCTACAGAAAAAAGCCACTTGGATATGCCACTTGAGGAGAACATCAATCGGATAGTTCCAGAAGAAGGCACGGTGGAGGCCCGAACCATAGAGGATGCCATCGCAGTTCTCAGGTATCATGCTCTCTGGAGAAATACATTTTTAGAGTGATTAGGAGACTCTTTTATTCTACAAAGAAAATGCAAATATGTTTTTTTTTTAAGTCACAATTTTTGAACATTTTTTGCTGTTGTCACAGGGTCCCTGTGTGTTCTTAAAATGTCTTTAAATGTATTAAATTCAGTTGTATCAAATTTATGGTGATAAAAAGTTTTAAATATCTTAAAGGTACCCTAGTGAAAAAAACCTATACCAAAATGTATTTAAAATACATTTGTTGCATACTAAGTATACTACAAAACCATTAACATATTTACTGACATATCGCTTGAGCCTTACTGATATAAGAATTATAATTCAACTTTAACTGGAGTACTTCTTTATTGCACAATGCACATTTCTTAATATTAAGCCCAACATGTGTTTTAATATCACTATTAGTAAAAAACTAACTTTAGCTGGACAATAACTTTATTCTAGAGCTGCTGTAAACCCAAAACAATCTAATTTCCTATTATCACTGTAAAGCTGCTTTGAAATAATCTATATTGTTAAAAGCGCTATATAAATGGAGGTGACTTGACTTGACTAGTAAGGATAGTATGATCTCTGTATAATACCAGTCTTTAAATGCAAGATATTTGTTAGTTCCACTTTAGCACAATCAAATATACTTTAGTTATCCAGAAATAATGCTGAGGTCCAACTAAAGATATACTTAAGTATAGGGATGCACGATGATATCGGGACAACATCGGTATCGGCCGATAAAAGCTTAAAATGACCATCATCGGCATCGGCCGTTATGAATATTTCTGCCGATGAGCCTTGCCGATAGGGTGGCATGTTTCCTATGCGCACGTGACGCGAACGAAGCATGAGCGCCAGCAACTTAAACTTCCAACTAGGGGTGTGCGTCTCACGGTTTTTGATCGTGGACGATTAAAATGTCTCCACGATCTGCTTTTGAAGAAAAATCATAGTATCGTGCATTCTATCATTTCAATTCTGGCGCCTTCATCTCAACATACTGTACAACGCGACGTACATTCACATCACATCACATGTAAACGCAGAGGTAGAGTTACACTCACGGTCACGGGACACCGCAATTCACAAAAGTTCATTATTTGCATGTGCGTCAAAGTCTTGCTAGGTAAACATATCATTCACGTGCTGATGCGCTGTTCTAACATCCGCTTTTCTGAGCGCGTTACACCCGACGCTCACAGGAACTAAAAGCCTGTCACAGAGTCTGCATACTGGACTAATCTTTCGAGTCTTATTGCGCTGATACTGTCAAATACACACACGGTTTACATAAACAAAGTTGGTTATGTCTAAAGTGAAAGCAAACAGAGAAAATCTGCTTGTCAAATGCGTGTATATTAGACGCGTCGCGTGCAGTTCTTAAAGAGACAGTATAATATGCTGCCGCTTGTCCTTAAAGAGATACTGCACCCAGAAATACAAATTCTGTCATTATTTACTCACTCTAATGTTGTTCCAAACCTGTATTCATTTCTTTCTTGTGCTTAAATATACTATGGAAGTCACTGAAGTACAGCAACTGTTTGGTTAGCCACATTCTTCCAAATAACTTTTATAATTTCAACAGAAGAAAGAAACTTGAGAGAGTAAATGATGACAATTTAAATTTTGGGGAGAACTATCTCGTTAATGTTAATAAAACAACAAAACACAAAGAGGAAATCACTCACTGCTCTTGACTGAGAACTTTAATAGAAGCTTTAATAAGCTTTTTTTGCACTTAAAAAAAACACACAAATATATCGGTATCGGGCAAAATTAGTCTGAAAATATCGGCATATCGAATATCGGCCAAAATCCTATATCGTGCATCCCTACTTAAGTACATTAAGTACAAAATTAGTTTAACAGTTTTCAAGTATACCAATTTAGTATACCAAAAGTTCAATTGCAGGGTATTTATATTAAGTACGTAATATGTAAATGTATTTGTAGTATACTTAGCATCAAATAAATGTATTTCAAATATATTTTAGTATATTTATTTTTCACTAGGGTAGGCAATTTTCAGAGCGGCTAGCAATAGCAAGCTAGTTTTGAAAGCATGAGGTCCCACCCTCCCTTCAGAGCGTCTCCAAAGCCACGCCGCCTTCAAAACACATGAACGTAACAACACACACAGGCAGAGTCTGAAAAGCGTCAGAAGAGATGCTGTTAAATTACCTCATGCCTCAAAGCACATAACATTACAGTAAAAATGAGCATAAACAACTTAAAGAGCTCTGACCTGTACCACCTGACTGCTGCAGATTCATTTTGCCGTTGATAGTGTTGTTATATAATTCGAGTCACAAACCACTCAGAGTATAATGTTACGGGTTTCCATCTCTTCCAAATTGCAGTAGTTATGGCATGAACACAGCGAAAGCTCATTGTTTTGGTTCATGAGTAACAGTGTAAGGTGGCTGCTGTTGCTCGTATGCCTAACTCTGCATAACCTTGCGGAACATGCTGATGACGTGTGATGTCTGCGCTATCAGTGTATGTGGAGGTGCGAAAATATGTACATTCAGACCAAATGCAATGATTGGGCGAACATTTTATGGTCCTACTACACCTTCCACAGACGATATATAAATATAAATATTTAGACCATTTAACTTAGTGATTGCTATCAGTATGTGAAGAGACTTTCAACCAGCATAACAAAAAAAATATTCTGGAACAAATCACCTATCCTGCCTTTAAATGTACAACATAAGGCTTAATTATCATTTTAAGAGCTCTTGAATTTGAGGATGGAGATTAGGAATCATGACACAGCCTAATGTGATTAAACTTCAGAAGGTATGATTTAATTAATAACTGTGAGTTCAAAGTTCAAAATGGGGCACTGTTGCACGTTCTACAGGCTTGTGGTTTCAGAGCAGTTTGCGATCAATTAATACCGCACATTTATAAGCGAATGCTTATGATTTACTGTTGATGATTTATAACAGTTTTTACTTTATAATTTGTAGATAGTTGTGAGAATGCATATTGTATCTCCCTCAAATTTTTGAATAAGCAGCTGGAAGTAGTGAAGCATATACATTTCAAAATAAGAGTCACAGTATATTTCAGGTTTGTTTATAATTAAAAGTCCCACATTATACATAATGTTCTGATTTTGGTTGTTCAATAAACTGTATCTGGCATTAACTTTGACGTAAGCTATCGTGGCTTCTCTCTGGGCCGCCCTGTCACAGGAAGGAAAGACTTTGAACATAATTTAACCAAGATTTTACCAGTATCAATATCAACACAATAATCTGTGCATTGCCTTTCTTTAAAGCTAGATTCCATTCTACTTTTGGTTCATGCCTGTTTTTTCTGTTTTTCAGCACTAAGGAAGACCTGGATCGACACCCTGAGCGGCGTATGAAAGCCGCCTACGCTGCATTTGAAGAAGAAAATATGGCACGCCTTAAAATGGAGAACCCCAATATGCGACTTTCCCAGCTAAAACAGCAGCTTAAGAAGGAGTGGACGAAGTCTCCGGAAAACCCCCTCAACCAACGCGTGGCCTCCTACAACTCCAAGTAAACCAACACAATGGCACTTAAAGACTGACCCTCGACGCAGATCCTAATGAATACAAAAAAGGCACCATGATTAATTTGGACACACACAATTAACACATGTACTGGTGATCTATTCACACCCCTCGCCTCTTACATGAACTCATAGACAAACTTGGATTATTTAACTAATTATTCAATAAATATCTCATGATGTATGAACAGCATACAACCTAATTTGCTTATCTGCTAGACCACAGACTATCAAGAGCTGCTGGGAAGTTTTTAGTTTTGGTTTGGAGTGAATGCAGAGTGGATTCTTCTCAGCTAGCACATGTTTCTTCCACATAACATGTTTTACTGCAGCAGTGTCAAGCCCATTTATTAATGTCTCCATCTGATATGCTGCACATGAGCTGGAGTGTGGTTAACCTGAGGCAATTTTTTTTTTTTTTTTAAGTGTCTGTGTGAAGATCTTTAGGGTTCAGCTTCTGGTTTGAGATTTACGGAGAAGAGAAAGGTGGTCTGATAATTGCCCTTAGTTAAGATGATGGTAGGGATTTTTTTTTTTTTGATTGATTGATCTTACATGACTCCTTGTTTTGAAACTGCACTTTGGACCCTGGAACGATGTCTCCACATTCCAAAAGCGAGTGGACTAATAACCGTTGGATTCCCATACATGCGTGTCAAGTAGTGTTAACACACTCAATGCTTTGCTCCGCATCTGGAGGAGGACAAACACTTGGAAAAAATAAATAAAGAAGGAAGAAAGAGTTCCTTTCACATTTTTTTTCTAATTTCCTTAAAAAGAATTGGCCTCATATGATGGAAAGCTTTTTAGCTCTAGTTTTTTGGGCTCCCATTTCATTTATTTTTCTGGAAAAAGTTGCTGTCTGTTTTGACTATCCATAGTTTATTTAACTTTTACAAATATTGGATTGTTGACTGCATTTGTCAAGCTGAATCATTTAATCCTCATACCCAAGTTATGGTAAAAAAAAATAGATCAAACAAATACTTTTCCTAAATTTAAGGGAAACTGAGAACCACAAACCAACCTTGGTCCTAAACTAGCTAACTTGTTGCAGCTTAATTTAGGCTAGCTTTACAAGGTTAACTTTACAACCCTTACTTGCAAACCTTGTTATATAGATAAGCATTTTATATATTAATTTAATTATATATATTTGTATTATTATTATTATTTATTTATTAATAATATTTTTTATACTAATATTTAAATGTTTAATATTTAATTTGTTAAAAATGTTTTTTTTAAAAAAAGAGTTTCTGGTCTTATTCTGTGTATGGAAAGTGCCATGCTATGATGACATTTCCCCTCGTTCAACCACGTTTGCTGCTAATGTGATACTTCAGACATACTGAAGGTAGATTTGCTTTTAATAACGCCTCTGCAGGTACACAATCGATGGACATAAACGGTCACTGACCCCTATGGGACGTTCCAGATGGAAAGGAAATTAGCCTGCAGGCTGGATAATTCCCAGTAGCCACCTTTATCCTCGGCAAGAACACTCTTTACCACTTAAGGTAATTTATGACCATAATGTGTCATCAAGCAGCGTCACAGTGGAAGAACTGTAGGTCATCTAGAGATTATGCCATGCGATAACCTCTCCCGTTTACTCACCTTCTATTAAACATCTCTCCCATCCACAATGTTTTAATGAATGTGTCCTTTTCATAACTTCGACATGACTTCCTATAAAACAATCATAATGACAACATATGAAGACCTCAAGTACAATTGTGAAACAATAGCTGTTCTTAATCAACCTAAAAATCTCTGAACAGGGGTGTTTAATAGCAAAGATATTACTTGCGTAAGTATGTCGTTTTATTTTTAAACCTATTTGCACATTATTAGTTGTGACCCACTGAGAGTGTTAATTAAAAAACATCCCCTTCCTGCACTCAAGGGCAATGACTATATTTGGCTAATCTTTATTAGCAGCGCTGGTTCGACTCGTGATCATTTTATCAAGATCGTTTTGGAGACCAGGTTTCTTAAGAGCAAAATTCTTTGCTGAATGAGTGGTTATGTCGTAGGATCAAATTCAATAAAAGAGCTGATAATCTGCGCAGCATGAGAAGATGAATCTAAAGGCACCCACACACTACAAGATAATCAGGCCGATTCCCGAATCAGCTCATCCTGTGGTGTTAGGTGTGTTAAGAGTAACTGAATCTGCTTGGAAGAATGTCGGGACTACGGTGTACATTTTAGGACATCCTCAGACCAGTCATATGATGAAAAGGCATCATGCATCAAACTAAAAGGCTTCAGCCATTGGACGAAAGGGGATTGCACCTCAGACTGAAAGGCTTCAGGTCTCAGAAAAAACAACGTCAGGTCTCATACAATCGGGCATGAGACGAAACAGCCTTTTATTAAAAGGCATCAGACATTAAGGCATCGGGCGAAATGGACTCATACAAAAAGGCGTCAGACATAAAGTGCCACCTACTGTCAGAGAGTGGATTTGCATTTTCATGCAACCGCTTCAACTCGCAGACTAAAAATAACAACTGTGTAAAAGTAGCCCAATTCCACAGTAAAACCCCGGATTTGGCAACACTGGTCTGAGGCGCGATGCAGTTTCTGAAGCCTTTTAGTCTGAGGCATGATGCCTTTCAGTCACATGACTGAAATGTCCGCATGTACACCATACGGGGCCGCACCGATCTCAAATAGTGACTATCCAACATGTTGAAAATTGCGATCAGAAATTGAAACGTGCAAGCACTCTGACGATTGTCACGTGGAACGAAAACGTAAAGTCCATGTTCACGCCGTCTCCATGACTTCATCCAAACCTTTTTCTTTTTTTCCTGCAACGTTTTCCGTAAAAAGCAGTCCAAACACTGTTATCGCCATTTCTTCTTGCCCATCGTCCGCCATCTTCGTTTACTCTAAGTCACGTTTGACTGGGAGAGATTTTGCAAGATTTCCCGTGTTCACAGTCGGGATTCTGGTTGTTTGTGAATGGAATCAGTTAAGCCGGGTTCACACTATGATTTTGGCTGCGATTTGGTCGTCTGAGACAAATTCCTCGGATCCTAGGCCAATATCTGAAGTGTTTGATCGTTATTTTGACAGCCGATTATTGACCATTGTGATCAAGGTGATCAAGTTGTACCTCAGAATAAATTCTGGAAGTGTCAGAAGATTTGACGCACAGTCCTGTAGTGTAACTTCTATGACAAACATCAAATCAAAAACCAATAGGAGCGCTGAACCTCATGACACAATTAGTGAGGCGACAACAACAAACCACCACTTGCTCCACACACATCGTCTTCATTTTTTTTCCAAGAGAAGCCATGATAAAATTAATGCTAGTGATTGTTTTTGTTTCCTAGCCACAATTTCTATCCCGGATGTAAATGCAGCTCACATCACTGAATGTGTCCTGGATTGATGATGTAAAACTCTGGACAAGTCTTCTTGCGTGCGTCCGTTTTTAACCCGTCTTGACTGCCGTACAGTCTGACATTAATGACAGCTGACATCCCACAGTGTGACATTGCTTACAGCGGGATAATGCTTGTACAGCAAGCAACAGTCGTAAAGGACTATAATAAATCATACAGTGTGCACTCGGCTTTAGTGTGTGGTGTGCTGATTTTCACATCGTGGCACTCCACACATACTATAGGAACAGTTCTGTTAAATCTATGATTTTTTTCATGTGGTCTCTCACATTTTGAAAATCTGGTAAGTGTGGGCCGGGCCAGCCATTAGAGAGACCCTGCTGTCTTAGAGAGCATCAGGCCCAAAATAGCACGGAGTTCCCTTATCTGCTGAGTCTCAGAGCATCAAAGATTGATGACGGTCGGTCCACATATGTCTATAAGGCAAGATGCAAAGTCTCATTATTCTTTCTAGTTGGAGGCATTTGAAGAACTTTAATTATAAGTGATTTTGCACCGATTTTGATCAAATCTGTGACGCTGAAAATGTTACCTCGGATGTTTTTGCTTCCATTACAGCCCAAGATGCTCTGTGGAACGTCTCAAATCATGCTGGAGAACATTATCAGGTTTTGTTCAAGTCTTGAATGCTGCTGTCATTGACACTAAAGGGGACTGGAGAAACACTAGGAAATTCATATACATTTTTCAGTTTAACTTTCCACTCAAAATGTGTTGAATCATTTGTAATGTTATTTAAAAACAAAACAATGATGACTTGTTTAGAAAATGCTAAGCATATTGTTATATAATTATATAATATATTGTACATCATTATTTTATTTTTAATTAAAAACATATATTTATGTGGCAAAACAAACATTTTCATTAATGGGTTTTAGTTGACATTTGGGGCCCACTGTATTTGTCCACATTTCGTACCATGCCCTTTATAGCATTGCTACATTATTTAGTGACAAAGAATAAAATAACAATGATTTATATACACTCACCTAAAGGATTATTAGGAACACCATACTAATACTGTGTTTGACCCCCTTTCGCCTTCAGAACTGCCTTAATTCTACGTAGCATTGATTCAACAAGGTGCTGAAAGCATTCTTTAGAAATGTTGGCCCATATTGATAGGATAGCATCTTGCAGTTGATGGATATTTGTGGGATGCACATCCAGGGCACGAAGCTCCCGTTCCACCACATCCCAAAGATGCTCTATTGGGTTGAGATCTGGTGACTGTGGGGGCCATTTTAGTACAGTGAACTCATTGTCATGTTCAAGAAACCAATTTGAAATGATTCAAGCTTTGTGACATGGTGCATTATCCTGCTGGAAGTAGCCATCAGAGGATGGGTACATGGTGGCCATAAAGGGATGGACATGGTCAGAAACAATGCTCAGGAAGGCCGTGGCATTTAAACGATGCCCAATTGGCACTAAGGGGCCTAAAGTGTGCCAAGAAAACATCCACCACACCATTACACCACCACCACCAGCCTGCACAGTGGTAACAAGGCATGATGGATCCATGTTCTCATTCTGTTTACGCCAAATTCTGACTCTACCATCTGAATGTCTCAACAGAAATCGAGACTCATCAGACCAGGCAACATTTTTCCAGTCTTCAACTGTCCAATTTTGGTGAGCTCTTGCAAATTGTAGCTTCTTTTTCCTATTTGTAGTGGAGATGAGCGGTACCCGGTGGGGTCTTCTGCTGTTGTAGCCCATCCGCCTCAAGGTTGTGCGTGTTGTGGCTTCACAAATGCTTTGCTGCATACCTCGGTTGTAACGAGTGGTTATTTCAGTCAAAGTTGCTCTTCTATCAGCTTGAATCAGTCGGCCCATTCTCCTCTGACCTCTAGCATCAACAAGGCATTTTCGCCCACAGGACTGCCGCATACTGGATGTTTTTCCCTTTTCACACCATTCTTTGTAAACTCTAGAAATGGTTGTGCGTGAAAATCCCAGTAACTGAGCAGATTGTGAAATACTCAGACCGCCCGTCTGGCACCAACAACCATGCCACGCTCAAAATTGCTTAATTCACCTTTCTTTCCCATTCTGACATTCAGTTTGGAGTTCGGGAGATTGTCTTGACCAGGACCACACCCCTATATGCATTGAAGCAACTGCCATGTGATTGGTTGATTAGATAATTGCATTAATGAGAAATTCAACAGGTGTTCCTAATAATCCTTTAGGTGAGTGTATATATATATATAGGGCGGCAGTGGCTCAGTGGTTCATGTTGGTTGTCTACAAACCGGAAGGTTGGTGGTTCAATCCTCGGTTCCACCTGACCAAGTGTCGAGGTGTCCATGAGCAAGACACCTAACCCCAGCTGCTCCCGACGAGCTGGATGGCGCCTTGCATGGCTGCCGTCGCCCGTCGGTGTATGAATGAGTGTGTGAATGGGTGAATGTGAGGCAAATTGTAAAGCGCTTTGGTGGCCATTGGGTCTGTGAAAGCGCTATATAAATGCTGTCCATTTACCATTTACCATATATAGAAAAATGCTAAACAGCATTTAATTAAAAAAAGAAATAAAAAAATGCCAAACACGCATTATCATTAGTGGCCTTTTGTAGTAAATTCAGTGGCCCCATGGTATTTTTCCACATTTTATACTGCGCTTTTCTAACATTGCTAAATTATTTATTGACAGACATTAACCAAAAATAACAATACATTTTTTTACATTTAAAAAAAAATGAAATAATATTATATTAGAAAAATGTTAAACATTATTTTTTAATTATTGTTAATTTTTTTTTTTTTTTTAAATGCAAAACAAGCTTATTCAATTGTTGCCTTTTCTAGTAAACTTTTGGGTCCCACTAGCACATCCCTCTCTAAATTATTTAATGACAAACATGAAACAAAAATTCAAAAATTACAATATTTCAATCCAAAAACTTGCCTCTTCACAGCATGTAACTGAATTTGCTATAGACTTTTCTTCCCTATTGTGACGTATATGGTATATCCGATTGAAACGGCTTGTCGAACATGAAAGAAATGTTGGGCGGGACTTGTCCATCGGGAATTGATTGGATGGTTGTGATTTGCTGTAATGTAATGTGAATGACAGGTTGTCCCGCCCTTACGGCATTAAACACGTCATCAGAGAAGAGATGTCACTGCAAGAGGGAGGGGAAGTTATTTTGAGTAAAAATTACAATAAATACTGCGATATTCCAACAAAGAAGTACATTTTGATTTCATGGTGACTTTAAATTAAAGCATAAATAGAGGACTGTACACACTCTTTAATGCACTGAGCACTGCTGTTTGTGTACATGTACATCTCTAACATCCATGTTTCAGTCCAACGCTTAGTGTGATGTGTGTTCGTCTTTTATCCGAGCTGCCTCTGTGGCGGGAAAGATAAGAGGGTTTGGGAAGGCCTTTGAACTGCTGAGCATCAATCGCAGATTTCTCTCTCCTCGATTTCCTCATCTGCGGACCTCAATGTATTCGACTACCTCAGCCAACCTGAGCAGTGGACGCAATAATGATACCCGACGCTTAAAGCAGAAAGTGTTGTGTGCAACATATAGTGTTTTGCTCTCCCTCTCTCTCTCTCGCTGTGCTTCTTTGTCTCCTTATCCATTTGCATGCCAACCCTTATCAAGCTGGGCTGTCCTTTCTTCAGCCTGCATCCTAATTATGCGTCTCAAAGAGAGACCGGCCGGCCCCCTACATCTGACAAGCGTCTAAGGAAAAAGCTGCATGTCTGATGACTAAATCCTGTTTTCTCGAAAAAGCGCCCATCACTCAAACCTCATAAATGTCTGGGGACCCGAGTCTAACGTGCTTGCCGAAGGAAAGAAGGACGCTGCTTTAAGGTAAGGATGTCTCAGTTTACAATTATTAATGCTTTATGAAAGTTTTGTTTTATCTATATGTACCCCGGCTTAATTCTAAATCTTGTATGCAGAGATTGGGCTTTTTGGAAACTTAATTCAGCAATTACAGTTCTAATAAACAGCTGGCATTCCTGAGCAAATGCTCGGGAAAAAAAATTACATTTTTATTTTGAGTAGTTACTGTGCAATGTTTTACATATATTTTTGGCATTATGGCTTAACATGGTAGATTTTGCTCCTATTTTTACAATAATGCCTCATTTGTTAGCATTAGTTAACATGAACTATGTGCAATATGTTTTTAGAGCATTTATTAACCTTTGTTGATGTTAGTTCATAAAAATACAATTGTTCATGTCAGTTCACATTAACAAATGTTAACAGATTCAAACTTTTCATTTTAAATATGTATTAGTAAATGCTCTAGAAGTATTGCTTTTCGTTAGTTAATGTTAACTAATGTTATCATAAAAATAAAACCTTATTGTAAAGTGTTACTGTTTAAACAACCCGTTTGCTCAAATCAGATCATCAGGCTGTATCTTTAGACATCTGTAATGTATTGAATGACGCATTGAAGAAATGTCCTTTATATTTATGACAGACATGCTATTCATCCTTTTTAAGTTTGTTTTAACATCTACCAATTTTGATCTGTTTCATGGTATATGGGGAGATATTAAATCACAAGTTACCGGTTATGCTAAAAATTGTGTTTGTAGGTGTGATTAAAATAGACCAAAGGGTTATTAAGGGTTTTATGGTCAGTTTGTTTAATATATATTGTAAATGGTTAAGGTGTCATCCCACAAATTAGTGTGAAATCTCTTTCCCGCTGCCCAAATCCCCCCCTCAAGGAAAAAGTAATGAACACTCATCTGCTTGTGACAGGGCCTCTCCATCTCTCTCTCTCGCTGTTAGACAGGAACATGCGCTTCTTCATACAAAAGAGCATCTGTAATAGCAACAGTTAGCTTAGCACAAACAGAAAATAAACACAGGAGCAACCATTTTGCAATGTTTTCCTGAGCCGTTCTCACGGCATTACTAATCAGTTTTATAGGCTTACTTGAAATTAACACATTTTAATTGTTCAAATTGACTCCATATCAATTTAATTTAACTGTAAACTCTTATTTTGCCATCCCTGAAACTGAATATAACAATTCATTTCAATCTACAGACATTTGCTTTATGCAAATGAATCTGCATTAACACAAACCGCTCTAGTGCATTTACGGCTATTGATTGGTGCTGATCTGGAGGCAGTGTTGCTTTTCTTCAGGCCTGGATTTTTCCAAGGAAAATGATCCAAGATCAGCAGAAAGGCAATTAAAGGTAAAAATCTATATTTAGGATGTGTGTTACTTCCTCGTAGCTGTGGGCAAGAAGTTCGAATGCAGTTTAATGAACAGGTGGAACGGCAGGAGGAGATATATAAATAATGCACACTGAGAGGCCTTTATATAAGAGCTGTCAGTTTGATTGCTAAAAGAATTACTTATGTTCACTCTCTTGTACAGGTTAAAATAGAAAACAGATGGCCCTCCTGTTGTAAAAGTGATACCTGGATATTAAATACCTGATAGCCCATAAAATTGCTCTGTTTGTACGGTGTGCTGTTTCTAGGCCCTAAGTGGTTTTACAAATTACAGTCTGGTCGCTATGGGAGGGTTTGATTCTGATGTCAGACTACAGAAATGTGTTGAGATTTCATTTACTTTAACAAAAAGAAATTGCTGTAAATGGTTCTACAACTTTTGTCTCCTAAAAATGACATACTATTTGGTTAATGCTTTACATTCAGGTTCAATTTGTTTACATTAGTTAATGCATTAAGTATCATGAACTACAACATTTTTAACAGCAGTTGTTGATTTATTAATATACTATTATTCATTGTGAATTACTGTTAATTCGTAATGCATTAACTGTTAACTCGTATAACATTACAAATGTGTATGTGCAGAAATTAACATTAACCAAGACCGATTAATAAATGCTGTAAAAGTATTTTGATCACTTGAATTTGTTCACATTAGTTCAAGTAAACATGAATGAACAATATTCACAGCATTTGTTAATCTAATTTCAGAATTTTCAGAAAAGTTGTACCTGTTAACATTAGTTAATGCACTGTGAACTAACATGAACAATGATGAATTGTACTTTTATTACATTAACAAATAGTGCTCATTGTTTATGTTAACTAATGTATTAACTAAAGTTGATGAATGGGACCTTATTTTAAAGTGTTACCAGTATTTGTCATTGTCAGTTCATGATACTTATTACCGAAGGTAAACAAATTAAATCTCAAGTATTATTATTAGGCTATTTATTTATTATTGAAAATGAGTAGATGTATAATGTATTAGTTTAATGGTCAACATTTCCCTATTTACTTCAACTAATACCCTTTTGGTTTAAATGTTCAGCCTGTAACCCCACAAAACAACATCTAAATAGCATTGACAACTGAGAAGATTTGGTTTAGCCTAATTTAAATGCGGTTTGTAAATGCCACACACACTGGGGTCATTTCAACAGGCAATCCCATTCACATATGTCACTGAACATGGGAAAGGGAAATTAATAATTCATGTGGTTGTAAGCAACATTGCCTCCAAAACCAGCAAGCAAATGATACTTCATTCTGCCCAGGGACCCATACAGGTCTCCAGGACTAATTACTTAATGAAAAAGATCAAATTACCAGTTTCCTTCATTTGCGCCCCAGATCCACTCCAAAGTTCAACTCCAAACTTTGGCATCACCTTCATTGACATCAGCACTCAATCCTGTGAAAACCGAAACTACTATCCTGCATCTAAACAACTTTACTCTTGAATTTCAAGGCTTTTTTGATACTGGTTTATGTGCATGTGTTAACCAAATGAATAAAATGTAATACAAGTATACTTTATTGTTTGAGAACAGATTTCAGTGGAACTGATGTGCATTTATTCTCTGATATTTTTGCAGGTTACTAGGAGTTTCATGACTGCCTGACCACCAGATTGACCCAGCATCGCATCACATTAAGATTAGATATGTGATCAACTCATAAAAAAACTAGCTGATCACAATAATTTGACCATTTTTACGCAATTATTTTGAGTTAAAAAAAATTATTTTATTAAAATGGCCAAGCTTAAGTTGCCATTAAGCTGATAAATCTCACAAAGTAAGGACACTTACATGGACAATTGCCCTTGGCCAACTTCATATAAACATCATGAGTACAATGGTGCCAGATCAGGACTGTGATTTTAGTATTCCTCCAGTTCCTGAATCACCTCTACTGGGGAACGAACCAGCAGGATTGAACGAGCACCATGGATGATGGTTTTAAATGAATTATAGCTACCATTTTTGCAATTTTGGCATGCCGTGGTCCATCTCGCGCAGTAATCTGGCGAAAGTTAGCTAAACGTAATTGACGTCCTAAATTTATTTTCAAACACCAATGGTTTTTGTGATATATAAATCTGAAAGTGTTCGGAATAATGACAATACTTCTCACGCTTTATGGACATATCACCAGAATCTGACTACAATAGACCCTTTTCACATTTCCGGGTTTCTCAGAAGTGGAAGTCGTCATAGATGGGTAAACCTCTATAGCGGTGAATGAATACCTACATTAAATATATTTTTTTGTGTTCCCATTTGCTTAAATAGCAAAAGAAAAATTCCACAATAGTGTTTTCAGAACTTTCAAAAGAGGAAAAACCTAGAGAGAGATTGATAAACGGCTGTCGGGAGAGAGAAATAGGCCATGTCATTTTTACCGTCACTTGAATTCCACAGCCGCTGAAACACCCTCACGGCAGCGTTTACTAGTTTTTAGTATTTTGATGCAAAAGTAATATAATACAAATTATAATGTTATAAATGTACATCATTTTTTTAAATTGAAGATATATAAAAAGCTGCAGGCTGTACGATGCTGATGACGCGTCATCACAGTCTGGCCTCCTGTTGCTATGGTTGCACTATCAGGCGAACACAACTTTTATTCGTTAGCGTTTGTTAGTTAAACCTATACCTGTATACAAATTTAAACTAAGACCCCCAACCTTTTGTTTTGATTTCCTTTAGGGGGTTCGAGTCTTAATTCGGGGAGTCTGGTTTCGCCAACCTCCCCATAATTCGCACCCTCGTACTGTGCACTTCCCTTAGTATAGGCTACTCATTCATATAAACACTTCGATTGTCACATGTAGGTGGGGCTCCCTGTAACACCATAGTGACGTGATGAGGCTGGTCTTGGTTAAACCTACCAATGAAACGGGCCTTCTTGACTCCACCGGGGCTGCGCGCAGCGAAAGGGTGCCGGATCATTGCAACGCAAAGCGGCACTCCGCCGCAGGTGAGGCGGGGATGCAGCATCGCTACTCGGGAGCCGTCCATCAGCAGCAGCACCACCACCAACACGCGGAGCACAGGGGTGGCCTCAGACAGACCGCACACCCCTTGCCAAAACAGAGCCAAGAGAACCTGCCTAGCCCTTTCGGTCAGGAAGCACCAGTCAAAAGCCAAGGAAGCAACCCAAGTCTCACAGACTGTTTCAAACCCTCCCTAAGTCGGCAGCAGAGTGTTGGAGGGGCTGCCAAAACTGCGAATTGCCAACCAGATCATTGTTCGTGCAGCTGCGGATTGCAAGAGCATCAACATCTGTTGCAGCAACAGCAGCATCCAAGCCAGCGTCACAACCCTCCACCTTCCCTCCAGCTACAGGTTCAGCAGCAGCGAGTGCTGAGGAGTAGCCTGCCCAACTGCTGCGCTCGAGGATCCGGGGAGCTGAGAAGCCAGCAGCCGTCTCTGCTGCAGCACCGTGAAAACGACAGCCTGAGATCAGGCGAGCAGCGGAATCCAGTTCTTCACGCCCGTGCATGCACGCCTGATAGATGCCAGGGAGCCAGGAACTCCGTTTCTCCGCGGAGTAAAAGCAGCCTGCTGTCTTCTGACAGTCGCGTGTGCCTCGAGGAGAATAAAAATAGACACGAAGGATATAAGGTAAACCTGCATATACCAACTCATTTTTTGTTGTTGTTGCGCACAGACCGCATGAAATACGCATCGTTTATGCGTGCACTCTGAAGTTTATGCTTAACAGGTGGCCAGTTTTATCAATGCACCCGATTACGCAGGCTTCAGCTCGACTCTGGGAGGTCATGCTTGATATCGCTTCCCATTTTTAACACCACATTTCGGCCGTATAGATGCAGAAGGCTGTTTTGTAGTTGCTAGGTGTTGGTATTCGTGCTAACCTCGAAAGCATGGAAAGAAAGAAAAAGGCGGGGGTGCTTGCAACAGGCTGTCCATGATTCCCATGATGGCGTTTAATAGTAAGTAAACATCATGAAGCATTCGTTTATTCCTACACCTGCATCATTCATATTTAGTCTAGCCCTGAATATTTTTAGCCTACCTCATTATGTGAGCCACAGCTTAGAATTATGCTTTAAATCTATCTATCTATCTATCTATCTATCTATCTATCTATCTATCTATCTATCTATCTATCTATCTATCTATCTATCTATCTATCTATTCTTATTTCAATGCATCCGTTGCCTGAAAGGACCAGGGACAGAAAAGCAAGGCAGAAAGGCAAATCAGTGTCATTCATTCCTTGTGGGAGAGCCGACCCTGTTTCTGCCTCGCTGTTCCATTTTCTGCCTGTGCAAGCCAAGGGAAAGCCCCCCTGAGTGGCACTAACATGTACTTCAGGCCTGTATTATTCATGATGGGTTAGACATCACTGCCAGAGTGAAGAGACATTAGTATTAGTTTAGTTCACAATGCACAGCAGATGGAGGTAAAAGCCATCACCGATCTCTTCTCATGAAATCTCCCATAAGTCTTTCCAGTTGTTTGCGTCAGTCTGTTTCTTTCTCCGCTTGACTGGTTCTTCTTGTGTTTGACTGCATTGTGCTTGTTCTAAAAAAAGTGATTGTTCAGCCTGTGCCATTTGATTAATTTGTAATTGAATTAATTGTTTTAATGCACGGTTCAGAAACAGCATTGGTAGGAAGTAAAATAACCCTTGGAGCTTTAGCTGGTTGTACAAATCACTCTTTTAGGAAAACCATGCTGAATTCTCTCCGCGGAAGGGTTGTAATTATGTAAATGTTTATGCAGAGTTTACAGTTAGGCTTCTTCTTGAGTGGAAGCACTGGGATGTGCTTGGGATGTTGAGGGAATGACTGGTTCAGTATGAGCGAGCAGGCAGAAGGGAGAATCTCTGGGTGTTGTTGTTCTGCAGCTGGTGTTCTGCTGCTTAATCAAGGGTAATTTGTGGAGAGTATAATTGGCTGAGCTCTCTTGTCTCTGTGTGTATTCGAACTGAAACTAGCCAAAGGCTCTCTCTGTAATACCTACAGTGTGTGTGTGTCTGTCTACTATGTCAAACTGTTTCAAGTCCTATTGCTGGGATAGTATAGATGGTCATCGGTTTGAATTATTGAAACTACCAATTAAAACAGTTATTTTGGAATAATTCATCCATCCATTTTCAAATACCTGATCATTCTCCTGTTTTCTGTTGTCGAATGACAACAACAACAGCAACAAAAAACCTTTGATTTGAAACAATGTTCTTGATTCTGCAGTTTTTGTTCTTGTTGTTTTCTAGCCCATGAGAGTCTCTGCAGTTATTTGTGTGATAGTGCACTAAATTTCAGTTGGGGAAAGGATGGAAGTGATGTTATGAAGTCAGTTGTTTGAGGATGTAAATGCTGTCTTTTTAACCCTAAACTGTTTTGCAAGTGAAACATTATAAAATCAATTTTTTACTACTTTCCATGATAATGGAGTTAGCTGGAAAGCTTTCCCAGTATTCCTTGTTTCAATGGCATTGCTAGGTTATTGCTATGTGGTCAATAAGTTGTTGCTAAGTACCTTTTAAATGTAAATCTAAAGATTTTTTTTGCTCACAGATTTTATCATCCGCCATGCATGCAAAAGCCATGTCCATTACCTTAGAAATGTAATTAGGCAATAGGCATGATTTTATGGTGTCGTTCATATTCATATCTGTATCACTGTAGCAAGATGAGTTGCACAGACTCTTAAAAATAAAGGTTCTTCATTAGCATCTATGGTTCCATGAGGAACCTTTAACATCCATGGAACCTTTCCATTGCACAAAAGATTATAGTGGAAAAAGGTTATTTAGATGTTTAAAATGTTCTCAAACTAAAGGCCAAATCACACTGCACTGACAGACGCTGACCAATGCGGACTATGGCCAGTTTACAGTCCGTCACTTCTCAGACATTCCACGACCCAACAAACAAGCGAAAACAAGAGCCGACCAACAACAACAGACACTGACAGGGGGAACACACTGATCTGACAAAACCTGGTTGCGTTTGTTGCAGTGTGAATTGGCCTGAAGAAAAAAAAGGTTCTTGTAAGAAGTGTTCACTGAAAGGTTCTTTAAGGGACAAAAATGCTTCTTTTATGGAATCACTGTGAAAACCTCCCTTTTGGAACCTTTATTTTTAAAGGCCAATTCACACTGCAGCGATAGACGCAACCAACACGGACAACCACCAGATTACAGTACGTCTTCTCATACATTCCACGACCAGACAAGCGCAGATTTAACATGTTCAATCGGCGAAAAAAGCTCAGACGGATGCCAATAGACGCAGATGGGTAACATGCAGATCCAACAAAAACCTGACAAATTGTCTGTTGGCGTCTGTCGGTGAAGTGTGAATTGGCCTTAAGAGTGCACTAAAGGTTTGGAATAATAATAATATCTAATTTAAGGCACAGTATGTAAGTTTTGCCGCTAGAGGTCGCAAAACAATAACAAAGGCGTAGCTTGATGGTGCTGTGAATGAGCGTGCCGTGGAATCATGGGAGTTGTCGTCTTCACCTCCATATAGCTGATGGAAAGCAATCCGACGGGACTCAGACAGAAATCGAGTTTATGGATGGGCTAATGAAGCAGGGCGGGGCCGAGAGCGTGGGACATTTTTTTATTATTCTTGTATGCCGCTGCCGCTCCTTTCGTTTTTGTTGTTTATGCATATTTTACGATTAAAGTTACGATTAACGTTTGCCTCCTTCCCTGAACTTGAACTTTTTTACAGTTACGTTTGATAACTTAAATTCACATTATTTTATTTCATACTAATAAAACAGCCTACTCAATTACTATTCAGACAGGTCACTTTATTTGACAAATTAAAATTGTGGCGTAACGCAGCGCTGTTTTACTTGGTCAGAAAAATAATCTAAAAAATACATGAGTGTGTTGAAAGTTATTTTATAATGTTACTCTGTGCGTTCGCTTGGTGGCTGGTATGACACGTTGCACACTGCAGTAAGCTAGATCAATATTAGAATATCATATTAGTAAAAGCTGGATGATTGCAATTCATTTTAAAACGTATGGTGGAGAAGATGCTGTATTACTGTTGCTACAAATAAAGCTCTTTCTGATTATGCTATAGTCACTTGACTAAATAGTGTTGTTTTCGAGGCATTATATAAACATGTTACTCGCGGTAAATAAAAAACAACAACAATAAGACTAAGCGTGTTGAGCTATATAACATTGATTCATTTTCTGTCGATAAAGGTATCCAAACAGTTGCTCACCTGTCTAATAAAACACATAATATGTTAAAGCATCTTTGGTGTTTCCATGGTTTCTAAGGATGTAAAACGGAAATCAAGGGTAATGCCGATATGACATCATTGACAGGTGACGCAATGACACGGGATCTAACACTGGTTACAATAACGGATTTCACAGCATTTAAACTTTGTTAGAAACATTTGGGATATTGTAAGTACACAAGTCAACAAAATATAGGCTATTACATAGTTTTTGGATATTTTAATCCAAATATCTTGCATATTGTGCCTTTAATAATAATTAATTAATTTCAGTATTTTTTCCTATTACATCTCTGGATAGCTGCTAGTGAAGAAGTGTTTGGGATGGTGTGTTCTTGTGATGCCATCACCATCTAGCAGCTCTAGTGTGATCAAGTCACATGGTCTTTACGGTTCATTTGCTTGACTCAAAAAATTCTGTGGTTCCCATGAGCAAAGATGGCAGATTTCTTATTGCATTTTTCCGACCGAGGGTCCTGAGTGAGCCAGACAACTGGCATTGAGATGCTAACTGATAGCTTTCTCCAGGTATCATGATTCAATCTACATAAAAATCACAATTGCTGAAACAAATCACATACAAATGTTTTTCTTATTTTGTCTCCTACATCGTACATCGTATGAGGTGTACATTTTTGCGACACGAGACGTGGGAAGATGTCTGGTTGTAAAGATCACATTTTGATAGTGGTGAGCAGTTAGAAAAGATTTTCTTGAATAGTGGGATCTGTAAT